TTCGTTTGCGAAAACTGCTGCATCAGCTGTAAGTCGCTATTATTTTTTAATAAAAAATAAGAGGAATCAATTTATTTATTGTTATTGCCTGATTTTTGGAGACTGGATAATGCTTCTATAGTTTATTCTATTTTTGAAACTTTGAGGTCATGTAGATACCACACATCCTATAAACCAAGAAAAAAATAGTATTCGCAAAAATTTCTAGAAAATTCTTTTAAAATTTTTCGAAACAAATTTTTGAAAAATTTTTTGTCTCGTGCCGCCTGAGAGAACTTGTCCCCTGTTTTTGGCTTGACCGGCTTGACAATACCTGCTTGTATCATACCTTTAACTCCCAGCATTGCGTGTGGCGACCTCCCTCTCTTGGGGTGCAGTACTACGATACCTCTGGGGTCACTCACCCCCGAGAACTGAGCCTCTACTTCAGTCAATCCTCTTTGGTCAGTGCCATCAAAAATTAGAAGAAGAAGAAAAATCTCCCGCAGGTCTTTTCGTTGCGGCACGTGGAACGATTCGTCGACTGGTTCAGCGCTGATCAGTTATTTGAGAGTAAATTGATCATCTCGACCAGGATCATCAATCAATTATGGTACCAATTATTATAATATTTATCTCACTATATCATTATCGTTATTTTTAACCGGTGCATATTGAACATTCTTCGGAAAAATCGTCGATTTTTATATAGAGGTTATGTTAGGGGGAAATTTCGTTCAAGCGTTCATATTTTTATGATTTTTCATTTACAAAATTATCAATGTTTCAATAATCAAAACCAATAATTACTGAAGACGACGTATTCAATATCATTTGATATTTGCTTCTTATATTAGGTTCGTTGTACAATTGGTCATTTCGGAACGAGTCTTATGACTCTTATGAAATTTTAAGAAATTTTAAATAACGGTATTGCTGCTATCTTAATCGAAGTGCATATGTAGCTCTAAACGTATTTAATAAAAATTTTATGAGAACAGTTTAAAGATATTTCCACACAAACAGAATCACGTATTATCAATTCCTGGATAGTTGAATTCTTTTTAAAAGGGTAGAGTACTTTTGCAAGCCGATCGATGATGACTCGATAGCGACTCAATGTATTGGAAAAATCAACGATTAATTGACGTTATACTTGTCTATTTCGATGGGTTTCTTGTTTCACTTTTATCATTGATTAATATGGATCATGCGATTAAGAAAATTCCATCTCAAGATCGAGAAATAGTTCTCATCTTTCTGTTCTTGTAGCAATACAGGAAAACTAGCGGATAGTATTCAATAATTTTTAGCTTTATTAATTCAATGGGATTTCAGTCCGATAGGTGATGATATTGCTTGCCATGAGTGTTTTTTTGCAACAGAAAATAACGTGAATATACGAATAGAACACCGAATTTATTTAATTAGGAAATTTGCTCGATATAACATTTTTCCCGCAATATTCATTTGAAAAAATGGATCATCGAAATACATTGCATTATTTGATGGCATTATTTTCATTTAGTTAGCCGACAAAGGTAAATTTTATAAGGGAAAGAAAGTCTTCAGTAGAATTTTACTTTTTAATTTTGGTATTGATTAAATTGGTTTTTTGATTTTTGAGGTTCTGTAGATTTAATATTTATAAAGTTTACCCCGTTTTCTCGAAAAATCCCTATGATATGTCTTTTTGTTGCTCAGGCAAGTTTGAAGACCGATAACCCGGAGAAACCAGGAGCGGAGGTTGCACCGATTCACCGCATCAGGATAACTTTGACATCTCGCAATGTGAGATCCCTTGAAAAAGGTTAGATCCTAAATCATATTGGTTACTGTGAAATTTATAATCAATATCAATATGAATAATCAACATATCACCGACTGGATTCTATTTCCTTTCACCGGTTAGATCATTCTCTTTATGCTAATACACATTTCTATTATTTCCATTATTTTTGTTTTGCAGTTTGCTCTGAATTAATCAGTGGTGCTAAAAAGCAGAAGTTAAAGGTCAAAGGACCCGTTCGCATGCCCACTAAGATCCTGAGAATCACTACACGTAAAACACCTTGTGGTGAAGGTTCAAAGACCTGGGATCGTTTTCAGATGCGCGTCCACAAGCGTGTCATTGATCTTTACTCGCCATCTGAGATCGTCAAGCAGATCACTAGCATTTCTATTGAACCTGGTGTAGAGGTTGAGGTCACCATTGCCAACGATTAAGTCGTTCACCATCAAGAAAATATTTTAATAAATATTTGACACACATTTTTTACAGTTTTATTTCTCTGCATTTGTTGTACCACCTCTTTCGTATTTCATATTAAGTGATTTATTATAAGATTTATAGCCATATTACACATTCTTGATAACCCACATTATCCGAGCTTTGGAAGGTTGAAATTCTAAGAAAATAATTTTATCATTAGGATGAATTATATCATTTTTAACTCGTTTGCAAGTATAAGCTAGTTAAAATTTTGATTTTTTCATGATTTTTTAAACAAACTTCGAGTTTATGAAGTTGAAATCATTTTTCATTTCAATAATCGAGTATCTCTATCATACTCTCCCGCCGGATTATATCGTGCGTTTTCGGACGTCATCGTTATTCCCAGAAGCACTCTACTGTAGTGACACGGCTTTCTCGAATTATCGAGATTCTCGGGTTTCAAGCTTTGCGTATTCGCTGTTTTACTCATGGGTACCGGCTCTGGCTTAGTTTCGTGCCGCCGTTATGAAAGCTTGTTGAAGGCTTTCCATAAGCTCTAGAAATCTCTGGTAACAATTCGACTAGGACATAACGGCATTAATTTAGTGACTTTTCTATCTTGAACGATGGCATTATTGTTGTCAAGATCCAGCTGAAGCTGACCCTTGTATTTCGAATGACAATCATTTTCGTTGGGTTGAATATTCTGGTGAATTTGTGTTGTATACAGGTTAGGATACGTTTCATATATTCAGTGAAACAAACAAATATGTTGAAACAGAATTTGATTACTATGATAATAATTTACACCTTTCTATACAGTCGGAGAATCCTAGATCATTGAATTGTAATAATAGTTGTTAGAGAAGTGAGAGGAATACAAACGATACTGCGTTGATTTGAATAATCAATGCTTTCGGTTATTCATATAAGTTGATTAACTGACGTTTAGTCGGAGCCATGCCAGTAGTAGCACGAAATTGTCCACATATTTCGAATCATGGAGATCTCAGTGTCATCGAGGGAGTGTTCAATCACCGGGAAAAATTTACAAAGTGCAATGATTGCGATAATGAAGGCCCTGATCTTTGGTTGTGTCTTTACCCTGATTGTCGATGGGTAGGATGCACTGAAACACATCTGGATCATAGCACGATACATAATAATAAATATCCCCTGCATTGTGCACACATGAATCTATCAACGAACAGAATCTGGTGTTATATGTGCGAGAGGGAAGTGATAACAAGGCATATTCCATCGCCGTCTACATCACCGACGCAGATGAATGTTAAGGGTGGAGCAAATTATTTTGTAGGGGATGGACCGGGAGGTGTTAATTATAAGGCTGAGGTTGATAGTTTCGGCATTCTCTTAGATAGGTAAGCAAATCATTTCATTTTGACAAATAGTTATGCACTTATTTTTGGTTTTATGCACTTATTTTTGGTTTTATGCACTTATTTTTCGTTTTATGCACTTATTTTTGGTTTTATGCACTTATTTTTGGTTTTATGCACTTACTTTTGGTTTTATTTATACTTTCATATCAATACTGTTACTCTAAAAAACAGTACGCGGTTGTACAGTTTGTTATAGAAATGCAAATGTATGAAATGCTCATCCTTTTGTCATGTACAGAAGTTGCTTTAATGCAGATGGGGTCTGTTTTTTTCATGATATGTCCATACCCATCCTATAACCGTAAAATTTAATATAAATTTTTATTTAAATACGCGATTTTCAGTCGTGTATTTACCACAAATTGGAAACTAAATGACTTTTTCCTTTACAGATTTTACACCAACCACGATGCAAAGTTCAATTTTGAAAAAAGCGGTGATTCACCGGATAGTTCAGATTCCGAAGAAATTCGAGACTTGGCTAGCAAACCACGTGGTCTTGTAGGCCTTCAAAATATTGGCAATACTTGCTATATGAACTCAGCCCTTCAAGCCCTTTCCAATGTCGTTCCACTGACTCAGTATTTCTTGGATTGTGGTCAAGCAGTTTCGTACATCGTAAAAGATCGGAAGCCAGGGTTGAGTTTGAATTATATGAATCTGGTGAAGGATATGTGGAACAGGAACACTCGAGGGTATGTGGTTCCTAATGGAATTCTGTCTGGGATTCGGGCAGTTAATCCAATGTTTCGTGGATACCATCAGCATGATACTCAAGAGTTTCTCCGGTGTTTCATGGACCAACTGCACGAGGAATTGAAAGAGCGAATCGAAGAAGGCAGAGAACAGCATATTTATCTGCAGGTATATAATAATAGTATATTTCGTCATTACGTCGAAAGGAAATTTCCTGACATATATGATATTGACAGGACGAGCTTAATGTGAATGTTCCATGTACATGGGACAAGAAAGTTTTTTCTTATGCCCGAGTGTCTAACAATATTTTTTTTTTTGTAAAAATTTTGTCATGCAACATAAATATAGGACTAAATGATACATCTTGTTGGGCGCAAGGAGGTTTTTAATAAAATGATCAAAATGCGAAAAATATAATTTTCTCAACATAATTTTCATATGCAAGAGACTATAATCTAACGATAGGCTAATAAAACATAACAAAAAATAACTTCGAAAATTCTAATCAATATTTGACAACCAAATTGTGAGGTGGTTAATAGTATAAAAAGTGAATTTCTCTTAAGGTCACTGAATCCTCCGATGACGAAGATCCAGAGTTGGACGCTACGACCTCTAGTCAATCAGATGCTGAATATGAGACGTGCGACTCTGGAGTGAGTGAGCAAAGTTCTACCAGTGACGATGGTGACCGAGGAACGAAACGTCGTTACTCTCGAGCTTCTCAATCTGAGAAACTCCGAAATAAGTTCACGACCCGAAGCATGAAGAAGCCCCTCGATGAACAGTATAACCAATCGCAGAGATCACTCCAAAACTCTCCAACGAAACATCGAGCAAAAAAGCAAATGAAGACACGAAGTATCATTAGCGATATTTTTGACGGGAAACTATTGAGCTCAGTTCAATGTTTAATGTGCGATCGAGTCTCCACAAGGGTGGAAACCTTTCAGGTGAGAATATCAACTGAGTTCTATCATCAATTCGTCAAAATATCAGATCATATACCCCATACCCTATTCTATCATAAATTCATCAAAATTTGAATTAAAAGGACATAGAGCTGTAGACTCTAGTAGTTGTGGAAATCTAAAAAAAAGTTATTGTATGTAATACTTCCGAAGAAAGTATGATCGTAGTACGTGCTGCTTATAGGAGGCTAAATGAAGAGCTCTTTTATCAGCATCTAGCATGTATCCGCAATTTGTTGATTATGTCTCCTCGGGTAAACAATATAATATCTTTTCAACTGAGATAATTGATCATTGTAAAAGTACTCTAGCAAGTCTCCCTAGATTTACTCCTTTCCAATATATTGCTTTAATAATAATGGCTTCTAGGTAATTGAATTTCTTCGATTTTCCATCTTTACCACAATTTTACATATTTATGTAACCCAAAAACAACCTATGCTATTGGTTCGATGATCATCATTATTTTCAGGACCTCTCACTACCAATTCCGAGCAGAGACCACATCGACATGTTGCATCAGGGTTCGTTAACCCCTCAAAAAGCGGGTCCATGCTCTGACGTGGTTTACGTGACTAATCAATCAGGGTGGATGTATTGGTTAATCCAATGGATGCGTTCCTGGTTCTGGGGCCCAGTCGTTAGTCTCCACGATTGCCTCTCTGCCTTTTTCAGCGCAGACGAACTCAAAGGAGACAATATGTACAGTTGCGAAAAGTGCAATAAGCTTCGAAATGGAATCAAATTTTCTAAAGTCTTAGATCTTCCAGAAATTCTTTGCATTCACCTCAAACGTTTTCGTCATGAACTAATGTTCTCCTCAAAAATAGCAAATTATGTGTCTTTCCCTTTGGATGGATTAGATATGCACCCATATCTCCATAAAGATTGTGTCTCCAAAGTCACTACGTACGACTTGATATCTGTCATTTGTCATCATGGAACAGCTGGAGGTGGACATTACACTTGTTATGCACTAAATTCAGATGTAAATCAATGGTTCGAATTCGACGATCAATGTGTGACACAAGTATCTCCAGAAACTGTCAAAAATTGTGAAGCCTACGTACTTTTTTATCAGAAAAGTTCTTATGAAATAACTGAGTGTCGTGATAAAATAGTGGAACTGTTAGAGAGTTCTTTTAAAGCACCTGAGTTAAATTTCTATGTATCCAGAGCATGGATCAATAGATTTAACACTTGTTCAGAGCCTGGAATGATTGATAATTCAGACTTTTTGTGCCCTCATGGGGGAATTAATCCAGTGAAAGTTAATTATATTGATAAATTGAGTAGGCCACTACCGCAGGCGGTCTGGGAACATCTTTATAACACATTTGGAGGTGGGCCTGCTTGTACACATTTGTTTGAGTGTCCTGTTTGCGTGGAAAAGTATGAGACACTGCAGCAGAGGAGGAGATATGAGTTGGAGATATTCCAGAAGTTTAATAATATGGAGAATCCCACGGCCATTTATGCACTGGCGATGATCTGGTTAAGACAGTGGCAAGGCTTCGTAAAGGGAAAGGAAACACAGCCTCCAGGACCTATCGATAATTCATCGATTGTGCTCATTGTTAATGCCCAGAAAGTTCTGAAACCTGGTAGGTACTAATGTATAGTTCTCTACGGAATTTATGAATTCAAAGTAGCAATGAAAATTGTGGAAGCTAGTTGTAAGCATGAGGCGATCATTAACGTAATTTCGATGCGTTCCGGTTTAATTAGAATACTATCGATTTGTTCAAATTATACAGAATTTTTGGTAATAGTATAATAGAGCACTTCATCTAATTCTCAATTTTTCTGAGTTATTATTTATTTTAATAACTATCAAAAATACAGGAAAGAATAAAGATTGAGTGGCACTCAATTAGGTATATATGTAGACCGAGGTCCAAGTCGACCGTTCGGGGGTGTTCTGTAATGATTTTTTTCTGTAGCCGCAGCGATTATTCGAAAAACCCCTGATCCATTGATTGAAAATCTTCACCTTCGTTCTCGCAACTTCAACGACACTGTAATGCCAAACACCGAGACGAAACTTAATTAAAACTCCGGGAACGATCAGTAGCTCATCCAATCCTTAAAAATGTGTCTTAAAAATAAAAAGGGCGTTAACCGATTTTTAGCAACGCAGAATTGACCAACCGCAACCATAACTAAATCCGGACTTACTAGTTTTTACAGATCGAATTTTAAGGTAGTAGGTAGCTTTTTCCCTGGAGAACATCAAGTAGCATTTCTGGAGAGATTTTTAGGTAGCTTTCTCCGAGGCCGTTTAGATTGCAAGTGACTAATTGCAAAAGATCTTCAGGCCATTTTTTTTTACTAGTTAGCGACTAGTTTTCACCGTTCACTCTCACTCACAATCTAGCTAATTACCCTACCGGATTAAATTGATCGATTTTTTCCCACGTTTTTCATTATATACATATAAAATAAAAAATGAGTAATTCATTTTTTTTTAACGGCAATCAAGCAGCCTCGTTTTCCAATGGCTACCATAGGCCTCATTGACATTCATGTTTTTCGGAATCATACACGATATCTCAGCAGTTTTCAGATGGAAAAAATTACTACAATTCGTTAAAAACCGGATTCATAAAAATGATAAAGTCGTGAGATTCAGTAAATTTTCTTATTGTTTCAGGTTCAGATTGTAGCCAAGTATCGGAAGACGTCTGGCAATTCTTTGTGAGTATCTACGGTGGTGGTCCCGAGTTAGTTCTCCAAACTTGTCAACGACCACAAATGCATCAAGCCAATACTTCTCTACATTCCACATCAGCACCCAACTTGGCAGGGCAGAGTACAAAACAAGCTCTCATCGATCCCAAGACAACTAAAATAATCATTACTAAAAGTACAGAGGTGATATCTCAGCAAGACAGTGCTATCGAGAGTATCGCGTCTGACAGTGATTCGATAAAAACTCAGAGGGATTTTAATGTATAAAATCGTTAACAGACAGGTGTTATTATTCAATGATTGATGGATTATCTAAATGTAGTGAAAAGTGATCAATAGATTTCAATTAGCCATCACAAAATTATTCTAGTAAATATGGATTGGATAAATAAATCTTAACTGAAGATCTTTATTAGATATTTAATTACTTACATCATAGATTTCTTTCTGTAAAGTAACCTATCCTCAAGATAATTACATAAGTGATACATCCATTGTAATAATTATCTTTGTTGCATAAATTTGTTAACATAACTCTTTTATTATATTCTTATTTTCGCAGTTTCGGCAGTTCTGTTTTGGAACAGGGCCAGATTGGGCATTGGAGTATATTGAAAGAAATCTGGAGTGTAAGCAAAATTCGTTTTATTTTAATTTGGAATTCTAATTTTGTTGATTTTATAGCTATTTATTTGCCTTCCCTATAACAGTTGACTCGATAAGGAATGACAGGTTCGCGTTGATTCAGAAAATATATACACGTTAATATTACAAAGAAAAGTACAATATCGATACACAAGTACAAGGGAGGATTAATACTTAATTTACTCAATTATAATGTGTAAATAGTTGATGAAAACAATCACTTTATATAATAAGGCACGTCCCATTTACGGGGATTCCTCTATTTACGGGGATTCCTCCATTTACGGGGATTCCACCATTTACGAGGACCAAGATATCGCCATTTTTCAGGAATCGGATTTTTGCAATGCCGTTGGGCTGGAGTTTTCGCTCAACGGTGAGCGGAACGGATTGGAAAAAATATTCAAGGCAACGACGGTACATACGCCACTTCAGGACAATGGAGAACAGTTCCCCCGGGATTTTCAGCTGTACTTTTAGGTTAATTACCCTGGACCTCTACAGGGACCTCAACGAGGGAACGCCCTACGATCCGCGTATTTGTCACCCTTGGCTTCGCCTCAGATCGGTAATACACACGCGGGTTAGAATGCCCTGTTTTCCTCCCTTGGTGTACAATATACTATTCCACTTTTCGATCGGAAGCACCCCTTTGGAGATATTGGGGTAAAAAGGACAGTCAATGACGGTACAGCGTTCAGTGGCTGTACGGTATGTCACTGCGCACCGGTGTGCGTCATTTCCTTTCTAAACAGGAGGTAGCAAAGTAGGGCTGCCCTTCCACCCGAGAAAGAGAAAAGAGTTCTTGGAAACGATGCAAGATTTAAAAGAAGATTAATCTCAATTAATGTAGCAATTTATTGATTGAAAAATTGATTGAATTAATCATTTTTTTTATCAAATTTGTTTTTTTTTTGGTATAATAACATGAACCCAATAGTTTATTAAGTAATTCCATGAAAATGTTACATACTTTTTTAAATTATTTGATTACTACCTACTGAATTCATCTCAATTTCGCATGAAACTGTTTTGAGGGAATTTCCATTCTCCACATGAAAAAATCCTGTAAACTCATTTGTTTACAAGATAATTGTAAAAGAATGTTTTTCGGAGAATAATAATCCCAAAAATTAGAACCAGCTCTCTTTCGATTTTTGAAGCAATTTTTCAATTAGTTATCTCAGTATTGAAATATGCGATCAGGGAATCAGAAAGCATTTATTTAGACGACCTGTTCAGGTGAATATCCGGAGAGGAATCATAAAGAAATATGGAAGTACTAAGGGCTTCTTCCATGGTATTCTGTGACGTCATATGTAGCATAAACAATTCTGCATACAGACCAGACAGGCTGAAAGCAATATTCAGAATTTATATAGCTAATATATACACCGTATATTCAAAGAAATAAATGAATTACTTTGCTTATTCCAAGACTCCCACTCAAACTAAGTGTTCTTGTAGTTCTTGTAGTTAGTAACAATTATTGGCTAAGGAATTTTTTTTTTCAGTGTAGAGGTAAACTCCAAGTTATTTTTATTATTTTTATTATTTTTATTATTTTTATTCTGTACAAAAACGAATGACTTCTAATTTCTAATTATACTTTTATTATGTTCATAAATAATAGCAATTCTTTCTTGAAGAGATATTGATTTTTTCTGGGCTATCCCGATTCGAATGCAACCGTGAATTTTCTTCCCACATATAATAAAATTGGTAAATCAGTGAGAAATCACATCACATCCGTCACAGTTCTGAACGGAGTGTTATAATATCTTGTATGCGCATGACGGTCCACCGTCGATCTTCTCACCATTTCACAGACCAAATCGATCACGTCCTGCGCGTAACGATGAAAGGATGCTGGCCACTTTCATCCCAACCCCCAAACACCGCCGCTAGTCCAAGTAACCATTAAAAATAAATCGTAATAATCTGGCTATTCTATTAAAAATCTACTGAAAATTTTATTTCTTAGCTATCTAATAATGTCTTACTAAAATACTAAACAACAAAAAGTGGGAATTTACTGGTGAACACATGATAATAATTCGCGCAAGTGCCTCAATTACTAGTCTAGAGAAGACATTGCAGTTTCAGGAGTCGAAGGTCGACTATTTATCCCTCATAATACAATTTTGTTTGTTTGTTGAAGCATAATTGGGAAAGTGTTATCCAAGACTATATTGTAAGTATTTCTTTCATCAAATCCGCCAGAATTTCTTTTAATTTAGAAGTGATTGGAATTACATTTTTAAATTTTTTAAGTGGATTCTCTAAAACACTATTTCCTCAAAATGAACATTAATTCTTTGGTGAATAGATTGTTACGGAAACATACGGTGACGAAATCTATTGATTCATACACTGAGAAAAATATTCAATAAAAATTACGTGTATTTTCCGTAATTCTGGAGCGAAATGTAGTTGACGGAAATTTTACGGAATTGTCACGTAATTTTTATCTAAAGTCACGGAATTTTTCCACGGTGTTCCGTAATTTTTATTTGAATTATCGGTGAAAAATAACAATACCGTCACTTAAATTTTTCGAATCAACTCCGTAATCGGTAAGTGAACTGAAAGTCCCGTAATTTTTACTAAATATTTCTCTCCGTGTAGATTTCTGTCACGAGTGAGTTGGTTTTCTGCATATATGTGTTTTCTTTGCGATAAATAAGATGAATAAGTTCAGATTTCATCATTGATTAACTATAAATAGATAAAAAACTTGGATTTATATCTATTTTAATAACAAAATTGATAGACCCATACTTTTCCAGTTTTACAAACAAACATTATTTTGAGCTCTAGCCATATAATTCTTAGTGGTTTTTTTTATTTGTGTATAATTAAAAACGGCTAGACATTTGTAGATGAATTAATTTTAATAATTTTCGTGATTGAAAAAAAATAATATAAGCAATTTTTTCTTCTAAGCGACAACAATGGCGAATTTTAGAGGATATTATATACCCTCTTTTGGAGCAACCATGAGTGTCATGTGGGAAACGGTGAAAGCAAAAATGCCGGAAAATAGTCCATGTATTGAGTTGATTCGTGGAGCCAATGCTGGTGGACATCCACAATCGAACCATTGTAAAGAGAACGGTGATGGTAGAGAAAATACAGAAATGATTACGATCAATGGAGAGCAGACATTTCGTGATCAGAACGGCACGGGGATAGCTGAGGACTCGTTCAGCTATCAGCGAACTAGGTAAATAACCGAGGAACTTTTATACTTAATAATTTTAAGCACAACAATCACCTGATACAGCGTGACGTCTGCGTAGAAACTAACAATTTCAATTTCCCCATAAATTAATGATATTTGATATAAAAACTTTGGAATAAGGATATCAATTTGCCGAACTTCTTATTTATCAAAACACCAAAGGCGACGTTCCTAGTCATTTGTAATGTAATAATTGAAGTAATATCGAATATAACCGGTTGACAGTACGAAGTAGGAAACGAAGTTTCTTCGTTATTATCCCAGGATGTACTCTTCAGTTTGATTCATTTTTAGAACATTTGGAATAGTAATTTATCAGCGGATTGTAATAGAATTTGTCAGGAAAATACTTTCCAAACTTTATTACCTACATTATTTATTTTCGGCGAGGGCCAACAAACTGACTTCTGAGAAGGCTTAGCCTTGCAAGTAACACTTACCAAGCCTATGCCTGAAAAGAATGAGATTAGTTCGGGCCGAATGACAAAAATGGATTTTTCATTCTTCATATTAAGATTCGGATTGAATCAGTTGGAGGATTTCGATGAGAAGTGGTGTTTCATGAATTATAAGAAAATTCTTGAGAATAATAGAAAAACTACAGCTTCATGTAATTGTAGTTGTTTAGTTCTTTCAAGAGTATTCTCCTATCATGTACGTAGGTAATTCACTTGTTAATGTGAATATGATCGCAAGTGCTGATCAAGCAAGTGGCGAAAAATGAACTTCCAAACTTTACTGATGACAGTTGATATTTTCTTTCAGTGAAAAAACAAGGGGAGGAAGTGTGAGCAGCGGTGGCTTCAGTGAATACGATGACGGGGGTGAATTCGCATCAGGAGTTAAAATTAATGAGTGGCAAGCTGCTTGGAACGTTACCAATGCTATCCAGGTGAATATTGAAAGCAGAGGGCGATTAAAAACTATAAATAAAAGAATTATGCACCATAGGAAGAAATCGGATGACTTTAGCCCGAGTGTAACGCATTACTACACTGAGAAAAAAATTTTCTTTAGCCAAGAATATTTACTAACCACAAGAAAATATATTTGGCATTAGTAAGTCGTATGGGAGTATTTACACAGTGATCCCCAGATTTACTAGTAGGAAAAAAATATTCTTGGCAAAAATAATTTTTTTTCTCAGTGTACCTGAAGCATAGTCAAGAACAGCAAACATGCGGGTTTAGATCTGTTTTTTTCTTAAGGTGCTCGTAGTATATTTAGAAATAACTTCACCGGGAAATTCAATTTTTCTTCAAAATTGCAGAAAAAAATATTATGTCGTTCCAACGGAAAGAAAAATACTCGAAAAACTGCGGAACTTTGAAGTAATGGTGAGGTGACCTTGCTTCTCTGGGAAAAGTACCGAGTGTTCCGTTATTTTTCGGCTCTTTTTCTTCCCGTGAAGAACTGTTGACAATAAAAATTCGACAAATGAAATGAGCTATATCTTTCCCTCATTTGGAGGGAAGCATAGACATTAATCATGTATACATAGCGAAAACTGGTCTTTCATGCAGTATTATTAATAGTATTTTTCCCGCCTAGGACGGAAAAAAGGAATCTGACGAATGCGACTTTATAGTCCAAGTCGGAGACGAGGATTATAACGCGCATGAGTCAGAATCACTTTTTTCGCCGTGGTTATGATGCTATTTTATTTCATTGTGACCGAAAACCCGTCCGTCCTGTTTTTGCGCACGCACCTCAATCCAACACGTGCCATATGCAATGGGTTATGTTATGTTCCCGGTTGAACATTGCGTGAACATTTTGATATATTATTTAGAGTATTTTTACGCATTTATTGGTGTATTTTCAAACGCAAGGGAATTAATTAAGGGTTGAAGGCGAAATTGACTGGACTAAGCAGGACACAATTATGTTCATCCGAAAAATTTTCCACAGGTTTGTTAAGGCTTTTAGGAAGTTATTTTAACGAATTTTGAATTTAATGGTAATATGTTAACCCCTTGAACGATGAACAAGTACAATTTTTTAAGAATAATAAGCAAATAGAGTAACGGGAGTACAGCAACATAGACACACTACCATTATATTGAAATGTAACGGTTGGTCGTTGAATGGGTTGATGTTCATGGGTTCATGGGTGCAAAAATTGCTACAAAGACATGAATTTATTATAAATTGAACTGAAACAAACTTTTGACCCCTAGGGAATGTTCATCGTCTCGCTTCCCTTTGCCGTCCTCCGAGGTGGGTACTGGGCGATTGCCGCCATGATAGGCGTCGCTCACATATGCTGTTACACTGGTAAGATCTTGGTGGAGTGCTTGTACGAATTGGACACAGTCACCGGTCAGAGAGTTCGTGTGCGGGACTCTTATGTGGCAATTGCCAAAGAGTGCTTCGGACCTAGATGGGGAGCACGAGCTGTCAACCTAGCGCAAATCATTGAGCTTTTAATGACCTGCATTCTTTACGTCGTTGTCTGCGGCGATCTATTGATTGGCAGTTATCCAGAGGGCGCAATCGACGCTCGAAGTTGGATGATGTTAGTAGGAATTTTTCTCATACCTCTTGGATTTTTGAAGACACTTCAGTCAGTTTCCATCCTAAGTTTCTGGTGCACAATGGCTCATCTGTTGATCAACGCTGTGATCCTCGGGTATTGTCTCTTAGAGATTGGTGACTGGGGCTGGTCTAAAGTTAAGTGGACCATCGATATGGAGACCTTTCCTATATCGTTAGGCGTGATTGTATTCAGTTACACCTCTCACATATTTTTACCAACCCTCGAGGGTAATCTGATTGACAGATCTAAATTCGATTGGATGATCAACTGGAGTCATATCGCAGCTGCTGCCTTCAAATCTCTCTTCGGTTGGCTCTGCTTCCTGACATTTCAAAATGACACCCAACAGGTTATTACAAATAATCTGCACTCTGCCAGCTTCAAGGGACTGGTTAATTTCTTTCTAGTCATTAAGGCTATTCTATCATATCCTCTGCCGTATTATGCAGCTTGTGAACTTCTTGAGAGGCAGTATTTCAGGGGAAGACCCAAGACTATCTTCCCAACCATCTGGACTGTGGATAAGGAATTAAAAGTCTGGGGACTAGCGTGGAGACTGGGGGTTGTTATGTTCACTATTTTGATGGCCATATTCATTCCACATTTCAGTATATTAATGGGTTTCATTGGATCTTTCACTGGAACTATGTTGTCGTTTATTTGGCCATGTTATTTTCACTTGAAGCTCAAGAGAAATTCTATGGATACGCGCGAGGTCGCGTACGATTGCTTTGTGATTTTTTTGGGTGTTTTGTTCGGGGTCATTGGGGTTTATGATTCTGGCAAAGCGCTAGTGAAGGCTTTTGAAATAGGATTACCCTTTTAAAAGGAATTATTAGTTGACAACAATTATTTAACATACTAATGTAGTTGATAATTATTAACGATTTCCTTTTCAGACTACTCTAATCCCTCAAATAGTCTTACTTTTTGTTGGGATCAACGTGTGAAACCTTTTTTTCACACAGCGCATTATACACTGAAAGACTTCACGATTCTTTCAAATAGAGACCAGTGTAGACTGTCCCTGCAAAATGATTGAATTAATTCTCTATTTGTGCAGATTGATCCTAAATCAAATTGACTATTTCATACATTAACTAAGGAAATTAGTTGTAAGTTGATGAGTCTTCCAAAGAGAATGAAAGGGGGAAACAGTATATTGGGATCACGAATTCATTCGGTGTGGATTCGATCGAATATCTGAAAATGTCTTCCATCATAGATGAAAAAAAAATATTTATATAGGTTTATTCCAATTCCGAAGAATTACAATTGAATGAATTTTCTTAATTTAGGTATTTTGTATAAAAGTCATGTCTACTCAAGTCATTACACCAACAATTTTATCGGTGCTGCGGTAAATTTTGGGCAAGAACACTAAATACGCGCATGTCCATCGGATACGTGTTGGCGAAGGATATATGTCCTTTATCGAAATAGCCCTATTACGTCTTCCAATTATTCATAGAAATATCTTAGAGGATATTAGTTTCTAAGTTACAAAAAATATTCACCTTTACAAAAAAAATCATTGATAGAAACGATTTCTTAATTCAAGGGAAAAAAAGAAACTTCAGGCACAACAACTGTTTTTTTACACCCGGAGAGAAAAATTCAATCAAAATTATGTGCTTGATCCGTAATCTGCCTGTCAAAACAGTATTCACTTAAAATTACCGAATTCTTTCCTTATTATGAAAGTAGAAACACAAAAATGAAGTTTGCCCGAGTCGAAATATCTCGAAACGCGTGGGACTAATTCCTCATTGGTCAAGTCGAACCGCCAAGTTCAAATTCGGCGCGCGCAGTAGGTCTCGTCACTTAAAATTACCGAACAGTTACGCACGTAACTTTTGACTTGACTTTTGGCAGATTACGGAACAGGCTTGTAATTTTTATAGAACTCTTGTCTTCGTTCACTAAACGATTAGGTGATATTCTGAAGACGACTTTTGAAGAAACAATTTTCAGTTCCCTATACTTCAATTAGGTGCACATCCGTGTGTAACAGGAAGAGCCGGCTTTGAATCCTGAATGAATATAGCCCCATTTTTTTTCTACAGACTTTTAGTATTTGAATTCATCAAATTTAGAGAAAGCCTCCGGGTTACACACTAGGCTCTCTCCCAGCTAAAATACAGGAAGCTACGGAATTTATTTTCTCTGAATTCACCTTCAGAACACCACCAAATGAGCTTTAAGAATTGAGTATATTCACAAAAATTACAAAAGGAAAATTCCAAGATAGAATAAGCCCTCCCCTCGTCGACAATTCCTTTGTTTCATTTGTATCGTAATGAATAATTTCGTATAAAAATTTTCAACGAAAGGATAAAAACTTAGTATTGAAATGAAAATAATCTCAATATAACCTATTTTCGTGAATGAAACTGCAAGAATCAATGTCTTCCAAACAAACAAAACGATTAAATGAGATTTTAAAAAATAGAAATAATATGTACATGAATATATAACTATATACTGTTGGTTAAGTTTGGAATTTTATAAGTGTATTGCGAGACTACAGTCGACGACTATTTATATTAAATGTCGTCAGACGAACTCGATGGCAGCAATTAGATGAAAAAAAATGAAATTTAATATCATCCGTATTATCACCTATTGCGAACTCGAAGAATTATGTTTGACTGAATAATTGGTCAAGATATCAATTATATAGAATGGCAAGGGAAGAGTGAAATTGTTCTACAAATAGTATATTAAGACAATAAACAGGTGCGATATAATTCCCAAAAAATCGGGTAGGATAAATAATAAGGAATCTTGCGCTATTCCATGGTTTTTCAATACAAAATCCAAAGCTGTTGAGTGAAACGCGGGTATATGGTGACAGATAAAATTTTTGAAAACAAAAAACTGAAGGAATTAATGAAAAAAAATAAAAAGTTAATTAATTTTCTTTCCATTGAGTCGCGGAAAATGAGGTTCAAGTTGTCAAAATATGTCATAAAAAAGATAGTTACACTTCAGCGTGCAGTAACTGCCTGATTACACACGGGGAGCGTCGCTGTGTGTAATTAGCACTCTGAGATGGAAAATAACGTACGGCAATCCAGACCGACGGATTTTTCATGACGAAAAAGATAAAATTTTCAAAAAATTAGAACTTGTTTAAATTTCCTCTCGAAGTTTGTGTTGAAAAATCAATCGAGTACCAAAATATTCACTCTCCAGCCGCAATCTTCGTGGATTTTACCGGATAATGTAATCGAATGTCTTCCAAATGATTTGTTGGTTACAAAAACAATGCTCTTTTTATGATGGATTAAATCAAAGATAATAGAAGGCAATGAGAAAATATACGCATTGGAGTTATATCGTGGATTCAATGTAGGTGGATAATAGGAACTGTTAGTTTTGTTAGTTTTTCTTCTTGATCCTTGTAACTATCGCCACTTCACCCTTTACTTTATGAATGTATGCAGCAGATAATTAAAAGTAAAGAAGTCGTCGCCTTCGGCTCGAATGCCAATTTTACACGAGTAAAAATCACATTTCAACAGTTCGGAAAGATTTTATTTTAAATTACTATTCAGAACATCTGGATTTTTTTTGTCCTTTTTGTTTTCCCGTCAATGACTGATTAACTTTCAATCAAAATTTAAAAATAATTCGAATCATTGATTGCAAATGATTGTGTAGATTCGTTTTCAAATAGATTAAATGACTGTCAAACCCATCAGATTCTCTAGAAAGAAAATTCTTTCTCATAATACCACAAGAGCTTCAAAATCATCGAGCATTTTCTGATAGGTTTTCGTTGTAAACAAATGAAGGAATCAAGTCATTGAGGTTGAAACATTTTTCCTGAAAAACTTGACACCTTCATCTGTTTGCAACGAACCCGTCGGGAAATATTCGATGACTTCGAAGCTCCCGTCGTGTTAGAAATGAAAATTTACCCTCAGATTATACAATTTGTTTACAGTTTATTTATTTATTTATTTGTGTACGATTTTATTACATTTTTTACTACGGCGTATTCTTAATCGAAAAATTATTTCAAGGTCTCTCGGATGCGATTACTAATTATTTTCGTGGCTTGATTTCGACTGATGAAAATACCGTGTAGGCAAAAAAACTAGAATAAAACTGATGCGAATATTCAAATATTGCACTCTGATTGACAAAGTTGAATGTGAAAACGTAATGTTCTAATAATGAGATCATTCATAGATATTTGAAGAATAATGAATGAATCTCGACCATTGTACTTCTATATTTTTTTTTTAATTCCCTAATGTCTTCCATAACAAAATAATACGAGTAATCCTTATTGAAATTATTCGAACGTTGCATAATACATTAAGTGTTAAGGTAAAAAGATTATAAACGTTTGTGGTGCAACAAAAATAAAATATATATGAAAGTGACCAGATCGTGAGGCGCTATAAAATTGAGTAAACAAATAATAGAGTGAATGGACTAAAATATTGGTAAACAAACTGCTTGATGATTAATGTAATTAATTGGAGTAATAAATGATTTTATTAAGAAAAAAATGATGTGCTTCGTAGGAGCTTAAAAAAATCGTCGATGTTAAAAAAGGATATATATTGAGCATATGCAGAAAAACGAACAGAACTGTAAGCAAATGTAACGGGCTTCCGTATGACATGATAAATGAAAAAGAGAAAAAAAAATGAATTATAAAAAAATTCATTACGAATATTTCCATCTTGTGGTTTTTATCCTTTATCACATTTAGAATTTACGGAATGAGGGATTTATTTGAGTTGATTATGAAAAAGATTTTCTCAAAAAAGGGTGGGAAGAAAATCATTACGCAAGGTTCGATATTAATTATAGCAAGCAAACCTGTTATTTCTCGTTTGACAACGTCACATATTCTCACGAGTAAGTAAATTGTCTTATTTATTGATATGACGATAAACCTCCAGTTTTTTTTTCAGATACATCAAACTACTCAGCGTCGACATGTTTTATTATCGAAGTAGAAACACAAAAATGAAGTTCGCCCGAGTCGAAATATCTCGAAACGCGTAGAATTAATTCCTCATTGGTCAACTCGAACCGCCAAATTCAAATTCGGTTCACGGAGTGCGCAGTAGGTGCCATATCCTTTCAAATCAATATATCCTATCGATAATTTGCTAAAAAAATGTAAAAACGTGAATTTTGGCTATATATGGATGTGGAACATAATTTCAAGTTTCATAACAACATTAACTGAAAAATAATTGGATCTTTAGATTTATTTTTACTCATTTAATAGTCATATATTTAATATGCATTAATATTCATCCTCTAATTTAACACAAAAACGTTGATATTTATCACAAATATTTCGTTTAGCGATTGAGATTGATTGGGAATTTCTCAATCTTGAAGAGTTATTAGAGTTATACAGTGGGTTTTTTCGATGAATATTCAACAACAATGTACCACTCTTGAATTTCCCCGATGCGTTGTTAATAGTGAGAGTTAAAATGAAATAACAATCATCTTCGAATATTTGTTCGAATCGATTGGGACAGTTGATTATTCTCAAATTTATTACCACTCTAAACAGAACCCAACTGTCGTAAAATTTCGGTTTGGTGAGAAGCAGCTGCGGGTGATATACGAATACTCTTCATGGAACTGACATTCCAATTTCGAAGTGTAGAGAGAACATTATTCAGCTTCGATGACCAGTCGATCAACTCTTTCTTATTGTCGTAAGACAATAAATACCTGCAACATTTTAACGTGATAGTTTACTCCAAGAATTCATCAGATTGCGAGTTTTTATTTCAAGAAACATTGATTAACTGTATGCACAAGTGTTCCAGTAAGTCATGATCAATGTCGACTCCAATCAAGACCATAAATATTAAAAATTAATTAATTACCTCTGGACAGTATGGGTTTGTTTGCACTGCACTAGAAGACTATCGACATCCCCAGGTTCCCTGGACCTCGGGACCTCCAAGACGACTGTTTGAGATCTTGTGCAGAGTTCCTTATCAACCTCAGAAATTTTCTGAGAGCAGCATTGCGCCAAGTCGATGATTTTGAGAGGGGGTTTGGTCTCCTGATCCCTGGGATAATTCCAGAACATGAGGGTGCATCCTTTGAGGGCGCAAAAACGTCGATTCCAGCTGATGAAGTCCCCGGACGGTTCTCCAAAGTTCAGGAATCCTTCATGAGAGGCTGACAAGTGAAGTACGCAAGACAAATTAAGGTCGATGATGTCTCGGAGAATAGAATCATGGGGGGCTGCTGTTAGTGTCCAGGGGGACGACAGTGTCAAGTCATTAAGTCCCAGTTGTAGATGTCCAGACTTGATGAAGGAGGAAGAGAGAAGTTTCTGATTGGGGTCGACTTTTGGGGATCTCTCAGATCGCCTGAAGAACTTTGTAGGGGAGAGATACGTCCAGGTTCTGTTTAACGTGGAGTTGAGTGTGTGAGACCTGTCCTCGTCGTTGCAGAAGACTTTGGATTTTAAGTTGAGGCTGTAGATCTCAATGGTGATGTTGAAACCGGGCTTCAGGTGATCGATGATACACCGGAACTGGGAGAACTCGAAAAGCATCGAGCCCACGGGACGAAGTCCCAGTGAAGTTCCCCAAACATTTGTTCCCTCGATGATGACAACTAAAAACCACTCCATAGGCTCAGACAGTGACTCTCTCCCGAGACGCTCACGCAGACTCAGATTAATATTTTCAATCGTCACTTCTGCCCACTCCGTCATATCTGATGATTCTTTCACTTGATAAATGTTCTCTGACTTGCTAGTAAGCTTTTTAAGTTGTTCCTGGAGCCGATGCTTGCGAATTTCGGCAAGAAGTAGCAAACGTTCTGACTCTACCTCTTCTGAATTTCCTGCCAACTCTTTACTCATTCGACAGGCACTCAAAGCTTTACTCGCTTGTTCAATCATGCCCTGCTGGATCTTTATGTTCTCCAGAATATTCTCAATCATGTCCATTGCATCCTTGTCAAAGGCTAGTTGACCCTGGGACTCATTAGGTAGGGCAACCTCTGGTGATTTATCTCGTGTCAGTGCAGCTCTGATTTTCTTTTTAATCGTATACGATAGTGTCCTGTAAAAGGTCTCGCTTCGATTCAGAGTGCTGGTATCTCTCAACCGTTTTGAAATCCTGTCAACATTACACGAATTACTCTGCCTCTCGTGATTCCAGAATCTCGTAATTCTCTTATAGAACGGAGTCTTCACCTCAGAGATCAACTCACTGCCATCCAGGTTTGCATTAGTTCTCTCGCCGTCGCTCTCTTGAACTCTCTTTGAATGATCATTTGTCATTGTATTATTCAATTCATCCTCAAGTGCATTCTCCAGAAATTCCTCCACCTCAGAAGGAGCTTTAACCTTATTGGTTACTGGAATCGATGAAATAATGCCATCAACATCCGCCAAACTCTTGATCTCGGTTTTTGCCATTGGGGAAAAGCTGGTGAACTTCGTATTCGGGCTGCAACATCTTCTCTTAGTTTTTGGAGACTCGAAGATATCCATGTCCTGATCCTCAATGACTTTACTTTCACAGTTTATCTCACTTTCTTCCTCAGATAATTCCACTCTCTCTTCTACATTCAACATCTCAATAATCGCCACCAACTCATCTGTTCCCGTTGACGACGAAGAAATATACGAATTTCTATTGTTGCAGTGCATAGTTTCATGTAAATTATCGCACGTTTCGTCCTCAATCGCCGCCAAAATCTTTCTCCGCCGTAGAAGTGTCATGGAAGAACTCCTCCTCAGCATTCTCTGCCGCACAACGAAAATTTTCCGTTATTATTATGTGATAAATTAATTGATTACTGAAATAGATTCCTACCAAATTCTATTCCAATTCCATTTGATATTTTATATAAAAAAAACTACATAACTCTTCAATTTGAAATGCTTAAATTTGCCAATGAAAATTACTGCGCACAAATTTTCGACGTTTTTTTCTTTTAAATTAGAATTCTGTGATAAAAACCCGATTGAAATACAGCGAAAAAACTATGAAGATTGTGTTTAGTAATTATTCATTAGAAAGATCAAATAGAAACCCAAAATCTATTCATTTTTTTAGAATGTCGAACATAATCAGCAGGAGAAAATAAATAGAATTTTCGATAGAAATGTTATTGAATTCAAATAGAATATTTTGTAAGCGTGAAAAATTACCTCAGTAAAATTATTCTCTGGTGGAGTCTTCATTTCTTCCTGTTTAATAAATCCGTGCGTACCTGAGGTTTTCTGCACAAGAACTGAGGGTCATCACGTCGTTTAGGAGTGAATTAACCGTCGGTTTATTCCAGAAATTGGGTGTACAGGTAAAAGTGGGGGTATTATTACCTACCTACCTACCTTCCTCCCCTCCTCCCCCTGACCCTTAGCAATAAAGGAAAGATTACTCAGTTCTTCCTTTCCAAAAGAACAATCGAGGGGAAATGAAATGTAAGGGATCCCCCCACTTTCTTGGAGTTCTTGGAATATTAGAACATAAACGTCGCACTTAAGGTAATGCTCCAGTAACTATTCATATGAAATATTTTATAGCATGTGCAATATGCCAGACATGCCGTTAGTTAACATGTTATTAGGTTGTTAAATAGGTTCAACATGAAATTTTCAAGATAAATCGAATTGATTCTGCGGCTGAAATATATTAATTATTATAAATTATTAATAGTTTACATCCAGCCATTTTGAAAACCACTGGAGAACAAATAGACCTCTTTGCTACTGACTTATTTCTGTTATAGTAAAATAAAATGACGATTTTATAGACATTTTGGGTAGTTAACCACGAGTAATAAAAAGTATTCCCTTGGGGAAAATGTTTTGTTCTTAACGCACGGAAAAAAAATTAGCATTTAGTGAGATTTTTTATTTAATTCATCATTATTATCTGTTTATTTTTCAAAGTGAAGTGTTTTTACACTTTTTTACACAATTTATAAAATTGTGTAGTGGCGATATGCAATTTTTTTTACAGAAGACCTTGGTATAAATTATTATTCCGTGTACACGCATTTATTCAGTTTTTCTGGGAGAAATTCCTGCATTGAAGGTATTTTTATTTTCTTCAATAAATTCAAACTTTTTTATTGTTAATCAGTCAATTTCTCTTTGTGTAGCTATAGGTAGTATTTTCCTGAACATTGTATGCAGTAATCCTTCTACCTGGATGGATCCCCTGGTTTACAATCTGAAAGTTGTGAATCGCTGATTACAAATGTCAAGCAACGAAAAACCAATTAAATATTTCAGGTAATTCCTGAATGCTCCAGGGCACTATAATACCAAAATATGAACGAAGTTTGCTGCATGCGCACGCGCAGGAATTACTGTCATGCGGACTCGCCCCAGATGTTTCATTGAGAATAATTTTACAGCCTATACTCGGACTAACAATTTCATTTTTACACACGTTCTGAAGTATACTTTAAGTGACAAGCATAACACTGATTTACTCGAGATGATAAAGTTAAGGAGTTAGTGATTGAATTAAATATAATGATTAATTGATTAGATAACAATGGAGTCCGTTAATCAGCCAGTGGATCCTCAATATATCTTGGGGCAATTGAACACCGCACGCAGAGAAATTCACAATCTAAGGTGATATTTCATTAAATGAACACAACTCAGTAGCAAAGTGACAAAAGAAGATGAGTTGATTTTAATAAATTTTTCGAATATATCTCCAACATTAAAGGAAATAGAAAAATTTTCGGAAAAACCTTCCCGAACACCGAAATGAGAGTTACAAAAAAGTTTATCCTTCAAATTTTTATGTTTCCAATAACTTTGGGGACATAACTAAACAGAAGCATGTAAAAAAGTGGTAACAGTTGATTTAGCTTCTCGATGAGATCGCTAATTACAGCGAAATTTTCGTAATAACTTTTTTTGTAGCACTGATTGAGATCTACAAAGAAGGTTCTAACCATAATTTAGCTATCTCGCTCAATTTCGTAAATTTTCGTCTCCTTTCGTACCTTCTTTGCTGAAATGATTTAAGAAATGATGATAAAATTCAAATTGGGGTTGTGGAGCATTTATTTAATTTTTTATCCACAGACAACAGATCAAGAGCCTCAGGTATGTATTTGAGAAAGATGTCAATGGGATTAAGAAACTCATCGGCCTCCACTCGGGAGTTAATAACCCAGGGAACGATTTGGGACCAGGAGAACCCACGACGTCGACATCAGAGGTGGCTGATACCTCATGTGTGTCGATGACACCCATCGGAGTTATCAACACTGGATTTCCCAGTAAACGCGCTACGCCCAGGCAGTCCGGTGTTGCCAGGGACATGTGTGGAAGAATTACTCTTTTTAATACTATTTTTACAAATCCCGAGCACGCGTTGAATGGACTTGAAGAGTTCTCACACATGTGGATTCTCTTCCACTTCCATCGGAACGAATCGACGCACATCCGAGCAAAAGTAGCCCCTCCACGTCTAAATGGTACTCGAATAGGTGTTTTTTCTACACGTTCTCCTCACCGTCCCTGTCCAATTGGTCTGAGTCTCGTAAAAATTCTTCAGATTGAAGGCAACACAATTATCTTCGAGGGAGTGGACACAGTGGATGGAACACCAGTTCTGGACATAAAGCCTTACATACCCCAGTACGATAGCCCCCTCTACGTGGAGCATCTTAAGCTCAATGGTAATCCCGAGGAGATTGAACGCTTCCAGGAAAATGGGGAGACGTTCTGCGAGCCCCCGAGAGAAGACGTCTCTGGTGACGAGGAACTTGCTCTGAGACTCCAGGCAGAGGAGTTCGAGAATTCCTCGAACCCTGAGACCTCTCCCTCCATCCTCGAGGGAACTGAGTATCTTCTGCCCCAAGGCGGGGCCCAGGTGGAGGCTCCGACAAATGAATCTGCAGTCCCCTCAACACCTGGGGACGATGATCCCAGGAATTCTCGATTACTCGATGGTGCTGATGGCCCCAGCACCGTGTGTGGCAACGATATGGACGTTTTGAACAGGCGAATGCTGAATCTCAGGCATGATAACTCCCCTGTGAGGATGGGAGTTAGAGAGGCTCCCGACGGCGAGGAGGGCCTCGAATCACAGGCCCTCAGGCCCTCCCAGACTGCCTCTAATACTCAGATCATTCCTGTCAGTGCCTCCAGGGTCAACAGTCTGCAGAATCTCAGGGAAGACAACCTGGAGCTCGTACAGGTTAGAGTACCGGACTGGATCAGTCAGTCGGGTTCCAGGGCACTCTCTGTGATATTTAATGAGAGGGCACTCAGACAACTTAATGAAATTGTTCATGATAAGGCTGACGAGCAGAAGAGGGCCATTGAGAATGTCCTCAAGGAAGACCCTCGGTCTGTCTACCTCAGGCAGAGGTGGGCCAATCAGTTTTATACTTTCTTGATTCATGATTTACACATTAGTTGTAGGTTTGATGATAACAGGGGAGTTGTCAGTGTCTTTCAAGTCAGATCTGCTGGGAGAATATGCGATTGTGGAGAACCTGAGTGGCAGTGTCTTGGACACTCGCCTGTTTCATAATTATGAGGTTAATTGTTTTTTTTCATGAGCGTAAATAGACATTGGAGATGATCAAGCGCTTTGACAATTTTTTTATTGACGTTATGGTGGTTTGGAAGTTCTCCATGTATCTGCAATAGACATTCTCACTTATTCCTCTTTATCCAGATTTTTTTATTTTTTCTATCAATTAAAAATAACGCAAATTGATAATGCTGAAAGATCAAAACTTGATTCTTCGTTTTGAAACTTTGATAAATTAACGCCATATGTTCACAAAAAATTTCTCGATAATCCCAACTATTCCCTCCACAACTAGAACATCAAATTCACTCATCCAAAATGTCGAAAAAAAATCGCATAAATATAAAATTTGCATCGGTTTATTTATCTACGGGAGAAAAATGTAAGATGAAAAAAACAAATTATGTGTACAATCTAATAGTAGTATCGGCCCCCGCTGAGAAGACCCATGGTTGAATAGGATGGAATATGACATCTAGAATACCAAAATCATTATGAGCCTCATGATTGGAGAATCTTTTGAGAGGCACGATGAGAGGATTCTGGAGGAGATCGCTGCAATAAATCAGTTAAAAATAAAAAATGAGGAAATTCTATGGAGCTTAGTTAGGATTCAGAGCTTATTCTTACTTGTAAACCATTCCATGGGAAACGATGAGGCCTCTATCGTCAGCACCAGACGCAAATAGAGGATAACGTTTGTGAAAAGCCACTCCACGCACACCAGTACCATGCAATCTCAATGTCTGATACGGCTTTGTACTTAAATCCATGTCAAACCAAAGCATTTTGCGATCATACGTACCAACCAGTATATTATCACCAGCTGAAAATCCATTTAATAAATAAATTAATAAAATTAATAATATTAATAATCTGGGTTATTTCTGTTCATCTTCGTGTTATCTATAAAATTTACCTGGGTGTATTGCCATTGTCGATATCCACTGGCAGCCAGACAACAATTTCTTCACCATCGCCTGCTTTTTTAGGTCGTAAACTCGAATGTGTCTTTGAGTCTGAAAAAGAATTCGTATTTTTTATGAATTTTCACTCGTGAAAATTATTTACATGCGTCATTCTCTATTTTCTTTTGCATTCCTCCAATCCCAAGATAGAGTCATTTTTAAATAATCAATTAAAATTCTATGAATCTCAGAAATGGTCGTTTCAATATTTTAGAATTGAAAAAATATATATAAATAATCTAACATTTGAAAAATCCAATTATCAACGCCAGTAATAAAATAGAAAAATTATCAATTACAATTGAATAGAGATAAATGAAAATTAATAATTAATAATAAAGATAATAATTACCGCCACAAAGAAGATAGGTCTAACAGGATGAAAAAGAACGCACTGGACAAGTCCCTTGGGCCTACTGAAGGGTAGCTGAGATCTCCTCTTGGACAATTGACTGATTAAAACAGACCTGTTCTGCCCGTCAGGCATAACAGTGGCGAAATAATCCCCTTTTGGATGCCAAGTGATTTGCTTGACAATGTTAAAGTGATTAATTACAATCCTGACCCCAGTCCCCCAGAGCTCGTCGTTAGGCTGTTCCCACTGGACAGCACTCTTCACCCTTTCACTGACAATTACATCGCTCTCAGGAATAATCCCCATGAGTTTATCAGTTTTGCTTGTTACCAAGTGATCCCCAACTCCAGGATTAATTAACAATACCTTCTTATCAGCAGCAACAGCGATAAGAGACACTGCCTCATTGGGACACCAGGCGACACATCTAATGATCCCTCCACAGGGTATGACCTTGACACACCTGCCAGTGGAAACTTCCCAGATCCTCAGGTGCATGTCATCTCCACCAGATGCAAAGTACTGGCCCCTGCCCTGAGTGGAAATGGACCTGACCATATCGGTGTGACCTTTATAAACCATTGACATTGTCGTGGGAAAAGGTTGAAGATCCCTGGGACTGGGTAGTTGGGGCACCAACTCCTCAGGCTCGATCGTCAACTTCATCTTGAGGGCCCTGGGGCACAGATAAAGATCCAAACACCTCTGGAATCTCTCTTTGATGTACTTGGGGTAAGCTGGAACTTCTCTTAACGTATTGAACTTCTGTGGAACGAAGTGAAGTTTCCTTTTCCAGGGTGTCATTTTGAGTTTGTTCCACTGCTTGAGCTCTTTTGTATCGAAAAGATACTCTGGGGGTGGATTGTAACTCTCTGCATGACCAGGAAGATGCCTCTTGGGGGCTGGGATGTGCCTGTGAATTCTTCTCATCTCTTCAGCCTGATCGTCAGACTGCCAGAGCATGTAAAATTGAGGCTGTTTGTTCTTATCAGCTCTCTCCTTCTTCAACTCCTCCGATGACTTGATCCAGCCCATCTTCAGAGCATGCACCAACTTGGAAACTTGTCTGGCTTCATTTTTCGAGGGCAAAAATGACTTCTTGTGCTCGGGAAATTTTCTCAGTGGTGTTTTCATCACTTCTGACGTAAAGTACTCAACCCACGGAGCGTAATCATCGAACTGGGGATCGGGAATCTTCTGTTTCTGGATCCTAGTAATGAGATTTATGTCCTCTTCACTGAGAATCACAACCTGACCAGTTGCGGGGTCTTTGACACTTCTCCAGAAGTCCGGATCCTCCATGCGTTTTAGAAAATTATCCAGAAGATCGCCTTTCTCGGGCTTCACTAACTTTTTTCCATCGAGGTTGTAGCCGATGTGGGAATAATCATCGTACCACTTCATGGGAATATTCCCTACGGTATTTCGAATGTCCTCTTCGTCAGAGGAATCGTATTCGTACTCTTCAGGTGGAAGTTTTGAGGATGTTATGGAGATTTCTGGAGTTTTTGAAGTATTGAAAGATTTTCTGGGAGTTGGACAAATCTTTGGAAGGGGTAAGGAGGCTTTTGCAGGCTTAGGAGGTGTCTCTGAGGCTTCTGATTCCTCTGGTTGATCCTCCGAGGCGGAGGAATCACTCTCGAAGGAGAGCTCCTCACTCTCGATGTCGGAATCGAAGAGAACTTCATCCTGCTCCTCGTCAGAGGCCTCCGGGTTGTCATTCTCTTGAACCTCGTCGTCAGAACTATCCTCGGAATTGGGAAACTCTTGGGTTAAAAGATCTTCTGCACCAGAGTCCTGTGGAAATAATTTTCAAATACAGAACTCAAATCGCCTTGATTATTACTTAAGCTTCCAATGAATATCTCAAAATCGAAGAAAACTAGTGGTAATTTTATCATTTTTAAACCTTTTTTGTTCCACGAAATTATCTCTACCATAAAGAATTTGAGTAAAATTTCGGGACCTATCCTAAATTCCGAGATAATCATTGAAAGTTGAGAAATAATGAAAATGATTTGAACTATTTTAATTGTTTTTATGTGTTAATAATGATGTTTTTTTTCTAAAGTTGTGGGAAGCTTTAGCGCGGCAATGGCAAATTGTTGAGATGAAAATATGTAAGTTAATGATTTAATTACCTGATTAGAAGAAGCCACAGATTTGTTCTCATCTTCTCGATCGCTCTCTACAATCCACACCCCTTTACTTTCTTTTTTCACACCCTCCGACTTTCTTTTCAGCAATTTTCTTCCCTTTCGCGGCATGTTTACGCCATGTGAGTGCCTTCACTTGAGGAAAAATGAGGTTATGTCTTTACCAGTAAGCCGTTTCTATGGAACGATTATTGGAGCGAGACCTACTGCGCACTCCGTGCGCCGAATTTGAATTTGTTGGTTCGACTCGACCAATGAGGAATTAGTCCTACGCATTTCGAGATATTTCGACTCGAGCGAACTTCATTTTTATGTTTCTACTTTCATAATAAGGAATAAATAAGGAATAATAAGGACGAGATCTACTGCGCACTCCGTGCGCCGAATTTGAATTTTGACTTCGGATTCGAGTTGACCAATAGGGAATCATTCTTACGAGTTTCGACTCAGGCGAACTTCATTTACCTATATCTGCTTTCATGACAAGGATCATAATAAGGATAATAAGGATAAGGATTTTTGATATGGATTTTTGACAAGAGATTATAGGAGAGATCAGCAGGCACCCGTCAATTATGCAGAGCACGAGGCCGAGTGTCGAGAACGACGTAGGAGAGGTAGATATAGAGTGAGAAGAATCGAGGAATTGGGGAGATAAAAAGGAAAGTCTTCACCGATGGAAAATAACTGGAGAACATTAAAGCACCCCGTGATCTACAAGTAATTCACTCGGCTTTAAAAATTCATCTCTTCTCTCCTAATTAATACGACACATACTAGTCATTGCGTCGTTTTTATGCGCACAACATCTGGCGCGGCGTTTGAATTCGGTGAACCGCTCGGGGGGCATGAGCGTTTTTTAGAAAAAATACGTTAATATATATTACGTATATTAATAAATTAGTGGCTTGAAAATAACTAAAGCTCGATATCTTACTGAGATGATCAAGTGTAGGCTAAGGAATTTTATCAATTTTTAATTTATTAATGTTTATACTAGTTGTCGAGTAATTTTAAATGATTTTTGGATTAACATATGATTAAAAATGAATCAATGAATTATTTTTAGTTTAAATTAAAAAGAAATCTTTAATATAAAAGAATTAATTTAATGAGTGATCATTCATTTAATTAATGATCTCTAAATGATTTTTAATATTTGACGGGTAAAGGGTAGGGTAGGGTGAGCAATTTAAGAAATGAATCTCATGGTCTTAAATATAAATAAATAATTAAATGGATCAGTGGTGAGTGATTTATAAAATTTGTCATTTATTGATGAAATCATGATGTGGGAAAAATTCTCACCTTATCCTCTTGACTTATGCAAACATATACGCACACACATATCCATACACACATTTGTCATGAATATATGTCATATTTCATTAATAGGACTTACGATTTTTCATAATCAATTATATGTATAGTTTTATACAGTATACAGATAAGAACGAGCACTTCTCCATCATCTTCAATTTATCTCTCTCAATCAAAAATTTACAGTGGTCGCGTGCACACGAGGTGGTTAACAATTACGTCTTCTCAATATCAATTTAATTATTCATTCAATAATAATTAATTGTCAGTGGACAACTGATATGCGCATTAAGTTGATATTTCAGGCCTAGTTTATAGTTCAATGAGTTTTCTCTTCGTGATAATGAACATGGTAATGCTTATGAATTATTCCTAAATTTTCTACGTTTATTATCTCGCTGGTTTGGGAATTCTAGGGGGAATTGTCCCTTTGACATTTACCCCGAGAACCACTCGCAAGGAGATGGATTCTGTATTCTATCCTAAACTATGGAAACGTGCAAAAAATTTATAAATACGCTGTTAACTCCAGTGGAGATTGATATATGTTTTGAGTTCGGTTTTTAAAATCTACACCAGTTCAATTATTGCAGCTAAATTTGCTCGCAGGACGGGAGTACAGACATAGATAGGATAGACTCTTCTAATAGACTTTGCAGACCAACATAATAGAAATAGATTTACATATAAAATTCGGTAATATTTCATCTCTAATAATTCCATAGTTCTCGTCTGATATATTTTATTATCAATATATTTTTTTTCATTATTTTCATTCGCATAATCTTGTTCGTTATTTTTACTGCGGCCTTTATTTCATAATTTATGTTAATCCTTCCAATTGTTCTGTCAGCCTTTACTTCGAAATTCACCGCATAATCGCCAATTCATCTAGTGATTAATCATTCAGAAATTTGTCAAGCGTTTTGCAATGATTATATTCACGTGGAAAAAATCACCACTAGAAATTGTTCTATAAGTATCACACGAGACTCCTTACAGCTGATTCCCTTAGGGGTACTTTTAGGTAATATATCTGTCCGTTTGATTATCTTCAATCTCTTCAGAGATCATCATCAATTTAAATTCTTGAAATTTAATGAATCTTCTTGGTAACGAGATAAACACAAACTTCGAGGAGTACAACAATTTAATCTCTAATGGATTCTTTTAAATTACTTTCTTCACTTCTTTTTACGTTGTATGTGTGGAAACAGAGGACAATGAAAAATTTCTGAAACTCTCTCCTCATAATAGCACGAATGAGATACAAAATCTAGACAGAGATGAGGTACATCAAGCGTTTTCCCTACGTACAGTGACACTACAATGCCTACTCGGTGCACAAAGCCAGTAGCCCTTGTTTTTCTTCATCCCTTACCAACGAACAAATAGTCCTTTGTGTCCTCTTCCTTTCAGTTACCTAGATATCTCAATAGCTCTAGTTTTAACTCGTAACTTATCGCTAACATTATTCATACTAACAATTTATTCGTCGCACTTTCTTCTCTTATTATTATTTTTTTTTTGCATTTGTTTCCTAGTTCTTATTATCAATTATTCATCATTTATTCGTTATTACCATCTCCAGGGAAAAATAATGACTCGGACCCCGAAAAATTGACTACTCTTATTCATTTTCTGGTATAGACATGTCTAATTTGTTGCGGAGTCATGAGAGATGAGTCCAAATAATTATTTAATCTCTTGTTTTCTTTTTATCGGATTAATCCTTACGCACAGAGAATCTAGGAGTTCGATTTGTTAGAATTTATCAATATTGGCATCAATTCAATTTGTTAGAATTTATCAATATTGGCATAAATTTTTTTATTGCAAAAAAATTAATTTAATATTTTCTGCCATCACCTGAAAATTCTACCCAATTACCATGTATAATAGTTTTTTGTTGCTTGACATAATTATTCTGGAATATAAATAATTAAAATCTGATAAATAAGAATAAACAATTAAATAATAATTCCTTCGGACTCATCCCTCGCACCCCCACCGCATCAATTCCTCCCCCAACGTCTCCCCCAAAATTAAGAATTCATTTACTTACGCACTAATAATTTTCCTCGTTTCGTATATAAATTTTACACTTTATATTTCGTTTGTTACAATTTTTCCGCTAACGATGATGTGTATATTTATTGACACCGGGTACATATCCCCAAATTTGTATTATCATTACAATTATCGAAATAAATCCATCGACGACAGAAAATAAATAAATTAATTAAAAATCAACGATATAAAAATAAAACGAGTAAAAGCCAAAATCACTGAAATAATGTCTACAAGACCCTGTAGGTAATCACGTGACACTCCAGTCGTAATGATAATTATAAATTCTTGAAATTAATGAAAATCCTCTAGCGATCCTCTGAAATTCACTGGGGAAGTGGTAAATAAATCAGTCTTTTCCGGTGATAATGGAATTCCCGAGTTTTCACCCACTTCGCTCGTGAATTAATCTCCGCAAATGGCCTAATTGTCATGATTAATTACTCTCTACGCTCTCTTAATTTGCATATCTCCCATCAACATTACCATTGTCATTATCATCAATAGTGTGTACAAGCCAAGCGATAATCGGTGCAGTTTAAACATTACAATGGGCCCATGAAGAACTAGTCTTTCCGTTGGATTCAGCAACAGTGCTAAATGCATGTGGTGGGAAATTTTTCGTCACTCTGAGGTGTATCACTCGAAAATTTTTCAAATATTTATTATCCGTTTACTTCAATCCTCTGTCCTCCATTAAAGTAGCTCTACTAATTTTAATAACAACTAAATCGCTTGAAGACATACATTTTAAGAAGAGAAAAACATCAAGATTAAATGTTGAAAAATATTTATATCTTCATCAAACATTTGTTTATTATAATTATAAACTAATAATCACTTATTCAATGATTATTATTTATCATTAATGATTGGAATTGATTATATTGATCTCAGTAGAAATTAAAAACCAAAACGATAACTATCGATTAATTGTTGATTAATTTGTACTGGTAGAGCTACTTTGATGAGACAGAGATTTAGAAAAAATTAATTATCAGCGGTAATTACTCTCTAGTTCGTCTAGGCCAAAGGCCTTTGTTTCATTGAATACAAAGTTCTAGTTTTTATAAAGAATTAAACGTTTGAGTGAAGTGGAGATGTCCAGAGATCTTGAAGTAAAAGGAAATAGAGGCGATAGGTTTGAGATTGAGTTGAATTTACATTTTGAAAATAAAAAAAAATGGAATTCACTCAATTGATATGTTAAAAATGCATACTATATTTTTCTAACCTATTTTCCTCGATAAATAATAAAAGCTGATGAATGGAAATCCATTTTCAATGGAAATCCATTGATTTCGGGAAGAAATGGAAGATCGGCCGAAAGTTTAATCAGCAAAATAAAAATACTGCAATTTCTCCCGCTGAAAGCAATCATTTTCGAGAGAAATCTTATCGCACTTTATTTCTTCACTGAATTTCGCATGCAAAAAGATCGAATAATACTTGTAAAACTCTGGAAAAAGGAAAGCAGAGATGGGGGAAATCGAAAATGTCTCATATTTGCTATCGATTCTGATTCGAAAGAAAGATCTCTTGAATTTTTCACAACCACTTCACCATAAGCTTCAGTTTTTGTAAAAAGAAAAAACGAAGTCACCCCTAAAACCCAAAAATCCTGTAATATAAAAAAAAACAATAAAAACATTCCCATTTATTAAGATCCACAAAAAAAATCAGTGAACTGAAAAATAATAGTTTATTACGAGATTTCAAATATTTCAGACAAATTTCAACATAAAATGTCAATTCTTTTTTTCGTTTTTGTATTATTTCAAGCTCGACACGCGTGAAAATCCTGCAAAGACCATTTTTGAATGTCAAGAATGAAAAATTCTAGGAGTTTCTCTCCTCAACAACGGAAACAGCAATAATTCAGCCTCACGAACATTTCGGAAATTACATAAATATTTACATAGTATTAAAGCCTTCATTTTCTCAGTATTTTAACTGGACGTTTTATCCACATGGTTAAGGCGATTTTTCGAAGTAATCGAAAAATCCGATTGACAAGGAATACGTGGTGACTAGTATAGGAGTGAAAAAAATGATAAATGGTAATAGTGGGAATAGAGATACATCGGTTTAACTCCGATGGTCTGGCAACGTATGAATGCAGGTAGACGATTGAATGAAAGGGAGAGGTAACAGTGGATCGAAAAAGGGGGTATTAATCTGTATTCAGCAGATTCCACAAATTTCCATATCGTTATTCTGTGCCTCGTGATTCTCACCAACTAGAGCACTGCAGCATCAGACTCAGGGAATGCACGTGTGAGTGTTTGTCGCTTGTTCAGGAGAGGATAGAGTTACTGAGAAGTCAGAATCCAGAACTAGATCACTGATGCAACCGATTATTCCTCTTTTGTAACGACTCTCGGTTGTTCTCATTATGTCTGGTGCTCCGCCTGAAGAACATTATCTTATTATTTTTCATATTCATTATTTATCCCATGAAAATCTTTTTTTTATAATACATTTAAATATATATTATAGAAAATATATATCATATGTTGTTCTACACCTCGAATTCGCCAGCCATTTTGTGCTCGAAGGGTATCATTAAAATGGCGGAAAAAATGGCGCACAAGATGGCGGGCAAAAATACTGAAAAAAAATTGAGTAAAAGGAATTGAATTGCTGTCACCTATGAAAAGTCCTGTATCTGTATTCAATTCCCTCAATTGCCCAGGGGATGACGCAGAAACGCTGACACCACTGTCAACAACCAGAGATGACCACTGTTCATTCCTGAAAAAGATAAATCACCAATGGACAACAGAGGAAATACAAAATAAATATAAAGGCTAATAAAGGTAACGAGATTGTCAAGTTGTATTACCTGACGACTCTGATGCGATGCCACAAGTCGTCATCCAATCTCGTGAGATTATATCTGAGAATTGCCTCGCCAGATCCAAGATTGTAAGCCAGCGTGAGATATCCCTGATTCAAGCCAACCGCAAGAAAATCATCGTTCTGCTCCTTCTGCTCCTGTGGATCTGATTGCCTTCCACTCCACAATAACAAACCGTCGCTACTGCTTGTTCTGAATCTCATGTTTATATCAACGCGATAGCTTATGATCCTGAAAATTCAATTTTTCATATCAGATCTACACGTTTCCTTCAATAATCGAGAATTATTTTTCAATTATTGTTGATTACCCATCGATCCTCTCGATCACTATTCATGATTTTAATTGATCTCTGAAGAGATTGGGGATCATTAAATGGACATCTGTACTAAGTTAAACTACTCTTTTTTTATTTCTCTGAGAATCACTATCACACAACGTAAAAAGGACTGAAGAAAGTAATAAAGAGAATCGTTAGAGATTAAATTGTTCTACTCCTTGAAATTTATGTTTATCTCGTTACCAAGAAGATTCATTAAATTTTAAGGATTTGAATTGATGATGATCTCTGAAGAGATTGAAGATAATTAAACGGACAGATATATTACCTAAAACTACCCCTGAGGGAATCAGCTGTAAGGAATCTCGTGTGATACTTATAGAACAATTTCTAGTGGCGATTTTTTCCACGAGAATATAATCATTACAAAACGCTTGACTAATTTCTGAATAATTAATCACTAGATGAATTGGTGATTATGCGGTGAATTTTAATGTAAAGGCTGTCAGACCAATTCGAAGGATTAATGAAAAAGGAAATAATGAAGAAATATATATTGAGAATAAAATATATCAGACAAGAACTATGGAATTATTAGAGATGAAATATTACCGGATTTTATATGTAAAAATATTTCCATTATGTCGGTCTGGAAAGTCTATTAGAAGAGTCTATCCTATCTGTCTTTTGTCCCGTCCTGCGAGCAAATTTAGCTGTAATAATGGAACCGGTGCAGATTTTAAAAAGCGAACAAAGGACATATCACTCTCCACTGGAGTTTACAGTGTATTTATAAATTCCCTACACGTTCTCATAGTTTAGAACAGAATACAGAATTCATCTCCGATACGAATGTCTCTCGGGATAAATGTCAGAATAATAGCTTTCCTTGGAATCCTCAACCAGTAGGCAACTGAAATGAGAAAAAAAATGAAATGAAAAATACTGATTACCTTTTCATAGTGTCAGCGTCGTTGTAATGAAGATAACTATCAATTCCTGTAAAGCTCGGTACACTCTTCTCAAATCTGTCTAATCTTGTAGCAGCAGATGTGCTGGGATTGAACAATGGATTTTGCTGGTGAATGGTCATCCCCTCTGTTGCTGGACAAGGATGGGGCAGTCCTATTCTGCATCTACAAGTAAATCTCTCTCTGTAAGGGCGACATTCTGCATCACCACATGGTCTCGCCTCGCACGCGTGACCACAATTTCCAACATTCACTCCACCCAGTGCCTCTGCCAAGATTCCAATCTGTTGCAGATGAAATAGTCGAATCGGATGTAATATTAAAATGAAGCTGAGGGATTAGTAAAATCTCGCTAAATCCGGGGAAAAGTTCTACCTCGGGTTGACAAAAAAAAACATTTAATAAACGCGTTGAGGGGAAAGGCGTTGGGTTCATTCTGATTCTGGTGTACTGCAAACTCAATTGCTGAGTTGAGTCGAGAGCGGACAGTTAATTTATACTACACTTGGAGCATTGTTTCGGGAACAATTTTCTGTCGGGAAGAATTTCAAATGGATTTTCGGGATTCCTTATGGAGAGTTGGCTCAAGGTGCTCTGGGTATTTATCTGTGATTGCACGTTCAGTTGTTTTATATACTTTTTTTTAAATAAAAGACATTGAGAATTCAAATGAATTGGGAAATTCTCCGTTGATTGCTGCCTAAAATTCTTTGAAATTTATCGTTTTAAAATTTATCGTTTTAATTAATCATTTCTTGTATTTTTTTTTGATTGTTTAACATTTTGGGGAAATTTACGATTTTTAGGAATGGAAAGTTAGACATTTTGGGATCAACTTAAATTTTTAATTTATTCAAATTACCCTCTCTAGAGTTTTTCGGTTTTTATTAATTAATTGGGAATAATGATTGCAATTTTTGGTTTAGAGTTATTTATTTGATAATTTAATAATGAATTAGACTGATTCAATTCAAATAAAAAATTTAACATACCATGTCGTTGAATTTTTGGATTTTTAAAATACAGCTCTACGGAATAATTAAACTGAAATGATTAATTCCCATTGATTTTTAATAATCAAAATGCATTTTGAATGCTTTTTTTGTTATGAGAAAAATTATTCCGGTTCTTCCCAAGTCAAATATCTTCTCTATTCAGAATATTGTGAAAGTTCTCCACAAGAAATCTCTAATATTTTTCATATTTCGTTTGGGGGTTGACAATTGTGGAAATAACCACTCATGATCCGATAAAATGTCAACACACCTCACGTCGATTCAAGACGACCGTCTGAATGCATCCAACAAAACTGGCAACAGTCTTCATCTTGGGTGTAAAAATGTCGGTAGACGGGGCTCCCCCCAGGTAGAGATTCAGCGGCAATGAGAGTTGAGTAAATGCCCCAGGGGCTAAAATCTCTCGTGCTGGCTCGTTCTCTACAACCAACGACGCCAACCTCCCCGTCCTCGAGACCCTCACCTCCAGCCATTCCCCCAGTCTCACCGGCGTCTCACTCCTGAAATTTCAACAATTCTTATCATTTTTATCATTTTACTCGACTGCATGTAACACTAATGCAATCCTCGGGTTCTATTTTTACAAAACTATCAATGGAGTTGTAGACATTAACAGATTTTCCTACGTATAAACCTATATCTACAGTTATTTACTACAAAAACTCTATTTTTTGCTGAGAATAATGATTAAGATAAAAAAAAAAGACACTGAAATCCGAAGAAAATTTTGCCTTATGATTTCTCAGCCGATCGAAAAGGAGAATATTCTCAAAATGGTTTAAACAATTTGTTCATTTTATAAAATCCGAATGTTAGAAACTGCGAGTGATTCGGTGGGTATAAATAATTATAATGATTGTTTAAAAATGCGAGGTGAGAGCGCCGCCATCTTGCACACTCAAGAGGAGAGGAAATGGCGTCGATGGCGGCAACTTCCAAAATGTCTTACGATCGATGTCTTACGACGAAGAAGTTTTGGATTATCGAAAGATGCCCCACTTTTTTTTCTAAGCGACGATAAACGGATTTAGCTTCTAATGACGTAGACTAATGAGGTTGTCATTCAAGGAATGACGCACGATTGCTTTATCTGAAGTGATTATTCGTCGTCATCCTCTCCCTGGGCTGTAAGCGTCGGGTTCATTACCATACATGCTGGCTTTTTTGAGCGGAAAGTATGGCCACGTATTCATAGGTAAAGAGCAACTGTGGCTTTTTCACCGGGGGACTGTCATTTGCCGCCCCAACGGCGTTAATCGTTCGTGAAAAAAAAAAAAGAAAAAAAAGGTGGCACAAGTGTTTTTATACTCCACCGCTCAGGCCGCGTTTTCACGTTGGTACGAGGATTCAGTCTTTTGAGGTACTTTACACAAATGGGGGCTGGAGTATTTTACTCTAAATTACCGTGGGGGGCTAATTATAATACAAATAAGGTCAACAACAAAATTTTAGGAAACAAAGGGAAAATTATGAGGGCCGAATTGAAATGCCGGTGAGATTAGTTTGAATTGTGTCGAGTGTATTTTAAACTCCAATTACACTTTTAAAATATTTTTTTCTTTCATTTTCCTCTTACTTTTATTGTTTTTTAGAGAGGAATTGTTCTAATATATTTCCGGGGAAGCCTTTGAAAATTTTTGGATGTAAGTGTAGTATCCAGAAAATACTGATAAAATAAATTACCCAAATCGCCTTGTGTTTTTCAAAACTGGAATCCTCTGTTGACCTTGAAATATCCTTTTCAAAACAATTTGAAAACCAGCGCTGCCATTTTGAATAGACTTCACCTTGTTCTCTTGAGTCAACAAGATGGCAGCGCTCCCACCTCGCATTTTTAAACAACTATTATAATTATTTATGTGCACCGAATTATGCGCACCTTATTTTATTCTGTTGTTATAAAATGAACAAATATTTCATAATTTTTTCTGTCTTGGGATATAACAACTGTTAATATAACAGCTTTGGGATGGCACGTGAATGTGTTATCGTGATTGATGACTATTTCAATTTGACCTGTGATGATTATCCTACCGTAAAGTTGCCGGTCCAGTTCCCAAATCAAAGGTGAATTGAATGTGCCCATCGGCCAGATATAATGCTATGAAATCACCGGTAGCATCGCTGTGATGTCCATTATACAATATTACGCCGTTTGATGAAGTGGGCTTGAGCGTCACTGAAAGCTCGAGCCACGACAGGGAAGTATCACCCAAGCCCGGGTATCTCAGGTAGGATGATCCGTTGAAAGATGGTACCTAATCAAAGTACTCGTGTTCTATTATCCTCGGAAAAATACACCAAGAAAGTGCACTCTACATTGCCCAACAAAAAATTCACTCCCATCAGGTGATTAATCATTCACCACAAAAATGAATAATTCATGAGTCATTAGAAAAAATCAAATAAATTTATAAAATAAAATGAATAAAATCATTCAGTCAAACAATTTTTTACACTAACAATTTGAAAAACCAAATGTTTTTATGAAATAAAAATATGATTTTTAATTATGTGAAATCTTAAGATCAATAATTAAATATAATATAATAAATATAATATAGGTAAATCATTTTTAATTGATTAATTAAAGGTAATTATAGACAATAATTTTTAAAAATGTGTTCTCATGTTCAGTCCTCAGTTATACAAGTAATGAGTGGTTTAATAAAAAAATGTTACGTTTCGAGATATCTCAAAAGAATCTATTCCACGATGGGATTAATTAATTAACAGAGAGGATGTTATTGAAGATATTGTAATTCCCTCTGATCCATCCCCAGCGATTGGCCTGTGTTCTTCCAAGAGAAAACACGAGCATTCATTTGGTATTCCAGGTGTACCGAGAGGTACTTCATTGGCACCGGTGAGCACATGACTATTTTATAAATCAAATGTAATTTTAGTGAGTCAACATAAAAAACGAGTGAGTACCATTGAATTTTTCCTCAGAGAGTGTACGTGTTTCTCATTAAAATGTCAATGAGGTATCTGGCATCCCTGGAGAGTGGAATTATAATGAAATGAAGAATGCGAATGGCTATGGTGGGTTGAGCTCATTTGAGATTGATTTATGGCGAGGCGTAATTACGAATTATGCTCACCTGAAGATCAACGCGAGTCTCGCATAAATCACCGGTGTAACCAAGAGGGCAGAGGCAAACAGCTGTATCTCCTCCTGTTGTCAAACACTTTCCCCCATGGGAACAAGGTACTTTGCTGCATCTATCAGCCGTACACTCCTCTGTGAACAATTTGGTAGAGGTGTCAGTGAATATCACATCATCTTCAATTATAATTACAAATCTAATCCAATCTATGTAGAGAAGAATTGGAAATTGCCAGATTAACAACGTCTAATTTAAACTTATTGTTTAACCATTAGTCTCGTGAATAATTCGCTGACGATGAATTGCGATTTCCCTTCTTTGAAGTCATAAATCCCGAATTACTAACTCATAAGTTATCTCAATAAACAATATTCTGTTTTTGTAAATTAATAAACATTTTTCACTGATTGTTCTCCATAAGTGATTAAACAATTTCCTTACGAATTTGTTGTCTTCGGTTATGAGTGAACTTTAAACAGTTTTTAGAGTTCTCGAATATTTATTTAAATTTATTTTATTTTTATAAAACCGGAAATCCGATAACTCTCGAAAAATCCAAAAAACTACTCAAGTTTTCTCCCGAACAACCAATTTAGGATTTCCAAATAATTTATTTGCATAAAAAAAAAGATTTCACAGCATAGAAAATAGAATAATTCAGGGCCGACAAAAGTTCCAAAATCAATATTAGATTCCAGTGAAACCATAACTTTGGAGAATTGAATAAATGGATTCGATAGGCCGGAACGTCAGCTGACGTAAATAAATGATTTTTCTATGCGAAACAACTGAACGAATGAATTCCTGGACTAAATGATTAATTACCGATTGAAACAATTACTGAACGTCAAAACGCCGGTTGAAATACCGTCATTGCCATTGCCATTAACAATCAATTACGCATAATTGGAGAGACCAACAGGGTCTGGATGAATAATTCAAGGGGCTAATTTTCGTTGGAGTTTCTCTCCTCATAATCAAAGGAATCAAACATTCGGTGGAAGAAAATAAAATGGAAGAGAAAAAAATACTGGAGCCAAGTCGTGAGAGTTTACTGCCCTCCACCAGTGGATGGATCGATACGAGCCCCAAGCTCTTGCCCCTGCCATGGTGGTTCGCTCCTGCCCCAGAACTTTTCTTTCACCAGAATGCCAAACCAATGACACGGGAAAAAACCCCTCGAGCTTTCAGAAAAATAGAGTGAGAGAGAAGTACAAGTCAAACGAAAAAATAATTAGAGAGTGGTTGAAGCGCGGCAGTGAGCGCGGGACAAAAGGTCATGTGGAGCTTTTTCTGATCACATCTCCCGCGAATTTATGAAAATGGAGTATAATTATGTATATTAATGATATTGATTATTACGCGGGTATTTTATGGATTTTTTTTGCGAGATTATTTGAAAGTTACTGCGACTGAGTCAGTCAAACAAGTCGAACTCAAGTTTGACTCGAGTGGAGATGGATAATGTGGGCGTCTGACTCACCACGATTTTTACTACTTAATTCAGGTCAAGGTCGAGATGATTCGGGATGAGTTTTTCGCTTTTTCTGATGATTCAATTTGATGCAAGTTGATTTTTTCAATTCATTCGAGTCGCTTTTTTAATTCATTGAAGTTGATGAGTCGCGTGAGTCGAGTCAACTCTTTAGATCGGTTGAGAAAACTTTTCCAACTTGATTCAAGTTGATGTTTTGGCGTGATTCAAGTCGACTTTTCGAATTATTGAAAAGAGCAAAAACAATACGATCATATTACAGACCTTTATAAGTTTATATTTATTATATTATGAGGTAATTATTTCTTGGAGAGGCCGTCTGTGTGGTCTTACGACGAAACTCTAATGATTGTTTATTAAATAATATAAACAAATCCCTGAGCATGGAAAGAAAGAAACCATGATGCCGATGCTTTGATTTTTGTGACATCTTAGTAAAATATAATTCAATTGCTCTTACTTAAACGTCTATTCCTTTATTAACCTGGCTTCCAATTAAAATCCAATACGAATTTATTGACATTTTCGACGTGATTTGAGTCAAGTCTTCAACTTAATTCAAGTCAATAATTCCCATGATTCGAGATACTCCATTGTGATTCAATTTAATTTGATTCAAGTTGACTCAAATCGTTTAAAATAAAATCTTCGACTTGTTTAAAATTGCTTTTTCAATCTGATTCAAGTCGATCTTTGAATTCAACTCAAGTCAACTCCTCAGCTTGATCCAAGCTCGTTCTTCTACTCGAAAATTAGAGACCGATTAATTAAATATTCCAGCCGTATTTTTTCCGCAATAAAATGCTCATGTTGTTTAACACTTCGAGTGCTTTCGAAATTCCAAAAATGCAACGTTAAAACAATGAGTAACACTTCCTGTAAAATATCCCTCCCCTACCCCAGGAATTGTTCTCATTACCAATCCTCAAGCACAACGTGACATCCGCACGATTTTCAATTGCACTGAGTTCCATAAAATACTCACCAACATCAAACCCGTTGATGGTATCTCCCTCCGGTGCCAATGCAAGACGGTAATGATGGTCATTCGCCTCTAGATGACGAACACATCCTCGAAATCCAATTCTCACCGGAAGTCGCTCCAGACCTGTTGTATTTCCGGGGCCACCGACGAACAATGGCTCTTGAAACGTTATCCTCGAGAATAATCCCTGGAACAAAAAGCCAAACCTTGTCACCGGGAAAAGAAATTTTCACGAAAAATTACGTGACAACGCAATCCTACGGTGGAATTATCTTCACGACTCTTTCAAAATTAAAATAACAACAGAACAGATTCTTCAACTGAAGATGAATATTCCATTTAATTAATAATCGTAATTTCGTTAACTCTCAAATTTACCGAGGTAATCGGAGAATTCATTGTTATTAATTATTATTAATGCTAAATTAATTTTTTTTAATTCATTTCCTCCACTGATTTTATTTTTTATACAGAAACTGCACGAAGGGAATTAATCAATACGAATTCCGTAGTTTTTACCTCAAATTTTTAGTTTATAATGATTCTGGGAGTTATTCTTCTGAAAAAAATCTTCCAAACAAAATTTCGGAAAAATAAAGATAAAAATAAATTAATAAATCTATACGTTGGACGACTCACTAACGACTTTCATCTCGTAGACCATTGAAACAATTCCTTGACACAAATATTCAATCTCTCTATCAGTCTCTTTTTTGTCGAAAACCTTCGAACAATATATCTGGAATAATCTGCAGTTCAAAAGTCAAAATAATTTCGAAACAACAAATAATACTGTAAACTAAGCAAGGGGATCAACTGAATCAGAAGTCGAAAAAAAGAAATACCGCAACGAGAGCCTTTCACCTAGCGCATTTTCCGGGGGATTTTCACCGGGAGATTTTTCTCGGAAGGTTTTGTTCAAGATATTTTTTTCTGAATGAATAACTCCGGACATTTTTATAATAAAGTATTTCCCCGTGTGCCATAATCCGCACGTTTTTCACTCTCGATTGTAATTTTTCCGCCATTTCCACGATAATTTTAGTGAATTTTCCTTCATCGTGGAGCTGAAGGCGAAAAAAAGACCATGGAGTTATAATAACAGAGTTTTTTCAATACTCTTGGGTTACGAGAACCATCGGAAATGCCGGAATGGAATGATGCGGCATAACATTAAAAAAAGCTTCGTTAAAATTTAATTAAGCTCCTGGTAACCAGACATAAATAAACGAGATTAAATAGATAAGAGAAAATTGAAACATCGGGAATATGCCGAGTTGAAATGAGAGAAAGAGGTTGTGGGGAATGAGAGGAGACATATAAATGGAAATGTAAAAAAAAAAGATACACTAATTGACGGATCTTTTGTCAATGCTCCCTTCATTTTGGAACAGTCAATTTTAGATGTCTTCGGCTTTTCACGCTTCACTCCTCCCTTTTATCATCAAAAGATGGATATAGATTGTATTTTTAGCTAGTGATAAACTAGGGTGACGTATTTTTAAAGTCCCGGCACACTTTTTAATTCTCGTTAAAGAAACTCATTCACTTTATTTCTACCAGGGGAATTGATAAATTCAGGATAATTCGCGCAATGAATCGGATGGATGTAACAGTTCTATTGGTTGTGATAAATTATTTGAAATTTCACTTCTTCAAATTTGCCATTCGATAAATTTTTTATATCTGTTTAATATTTATTCGATTCGGGAACAAGTCGATCGACTAAATTTTTATTTATCTTTAAACGTCAGTCCCATTCAATTTTTCGTGTATAGTTATTTAAATGATTCCATCTCGGCGGGAGATGCTCAGAATTTATTTAATAATTTAAACAATTTATGAATTATTCAGTAATAATATGTTCGAATGAATTTCAGAAGAATTCATCGTGGAAAATTGATTTAAATTAAAGTTCAAATTACAACAGAGAGAATTTACGTCTCCGCGAATTTCGCCTCAAATAATAATTAATTATTAATTAATCCACTTGTTAACTAAAATTAATTCATCACTGTCAAGTAAATGCATCTAAAATTAGTGTTTAAAATACTCTGAAAAAATACCAGCAATTTTTCATTCCAATTAATCAAAGATAAATAATAATAAAAAACATTAACTTTGCACTCCACATTTTTTTATTCCTCAAAAATATTTTGGACCATCAGAAAAAAGCGGAATACAAACGCCGAAAAATTCTTCCCAAAATGTCCATTCAATTTCGTTTTCAGGAATTATAAATTTTGTCAGCATTCAGGGGTTGAAGGAAGGGGTTGGGAATCCAGGAGAGCCTTCAATTTAGGGGGTAGAATTTCCCTAATAATTTTCTACATGGAACAGATATTTTTACAGGGATGATACTCGATTGGATTGCGACAAATAACAAGTGAAAAGATTGATTATCGTATTGGATTGAGTCTGGGGTGTGGCAGTACAACACGGGGTGCGGTTGGGTGTCCAACCATCCCCTTCACCTTGCGAAGGGGATGGTTTTGGTGGTCATTTGTCTCTAAATGTCGCCGGTATGAAATTACAAACTGTAGGATCCGCAGTCCATGAAAAAATAATACTATATACAATAAATAATATCATGCGATCACCCATGATTTCAATGATCCATCAACTGTTGACTTTAGACGCTTTCTTCTCTTTATGATCGAATTAATCATTATTAGTTATTAATCTTTCATTATATTTATTATACATCATTAAGCAACTTGAATAAAACTGAAGAATCAATAATATAAAGAATTAACTTGACTCCTCCGACTTATCAATTTGAATTAAGCTTAAGAATTAATTCGTGTACTCGTGATATTATGTTATTGATAATAAAAAATTGATAATTAATGATTATTAATTATTAATCAATCCAGGAATGCATGAAGTAGTCGCTGGACTTGATGCAAGTTAATGAGTTGGATGATTCGAGTCGATCAGTCATTAAAAAGCTCGTAAAAACAATTTATAATCGGTATGTTATAGTTAAGTATAAAATGTACTTGAGATAGATTTTAGAAGTAGATTTTTTTTTCCATGTATGTTTGAGTAATTTAAATAAGTGTTAATAAAAATTAAAGAAAAAATGTATTAACTAGTTTTAGAAAGAGGGAAGGGAGGAAATTGAGGGGAAATGAGGGGTATTTAGGGAAATGAGGGGAATTTAGGGAATTTAGGAAATTTAGGAAATTTAGGGAATTGAGGGAATGAGAATATGTGGAATTCCGTCAATTCCACAATTTTCTATTCTCAATGAAATTTACCGACATTTGTCATCAGGCGTTGACACATCTTCAATTTAGATAGAGCATTTGATCAAGTAGAGATTTTCACTCCATCAAATACTTGTCAGGGGAATAAAAAGAATACCTTAGATCTTCCCTGCACGCGTTTTCCAGAATTGAGGGTAATCCAGGCGTCCCACCGGTGCCTGTAGACATTGAGTGTATTCCACTCGTTGAGCTTGACGGTGTCAGTGCTCCTTACAACACCAACACCACTCCCACAATCGAATCTGCAGGGAACGATCAATAATTCGATATGGAATTAACCTTTTTCAAATACCTCGTGGTATACTATTGAACATTTTTTCACCACCAAAGATCTCTGGAAAAATTTTCCGAACATCGGGTTGAGGATTTTTCTTTCGTGGCCCAACATTATCCCCAGATCTTCGGAAGAATCTTCTAGAGATCGTATGGAACATCTTTTTGACTACACAAAACGATTTTTACGGAGATTTTTAACGTTTTCCTAGGATTATGTGGGAAATAATATTTTTGAAGATCTGGAGAAAGATTCTTTTGGTTACTCATAAAAATAACGGAACTCAAAATATTACTTTAACAAATCGCGACAGGAAATATTACAAATATTATTATTAAGACATCCTTAAAAAATAATTGAGATTAATAATAATTTGCTAGCATAATACTTCTGCGCAGTGAACGATTCACATCATAATCCGTTAATTTGCAATCTTTTTTAAAATAATATAATGATATCATAATATCTTGACTTGTAATATTTCCTTTTGGAATTATTAATTAATTATTAATATATGAATATTATTAAAGAAAATTCAGAGCGATGAATGAGCAATTCTTGGCAATTTCAATCCATTTTTATCTCGATTCCTCATCACCAAAAAAATGTTTAGATCGTAAAAATGGGGGGCTCCAACCCCTACAGTAGATATTCTCGATATTATTCGGAAATTTCATTTAAAAGAAGAATCAGCGAACGAATGGATGAATTTGAAGAATTTAATTCAATTCGAATGAATTTTCAATTTTTTTTATGTGACAGATTGAACAAGAAAATTATTCAATAATAGGATAAATATCTTTTTGGATTTTCCGTCAATCGATTTCATTCAAAAATCATCTCACTTCCCATTTCGAAAAGAATCAATTAATGAATTAACAAATTACTTTTAATTTTAATCATGCGACGTCTTGAATATTCAAAAAAAATTTAGTTTTCCCTCTAAAAAATGATCCATTCAGTGAAAAATAATGATCTTAAATGAACTAAGAACCCCTACAGTAGATTTCATAAAAACACTGATGCACAGATTCTCGACAAGAAATTGTCTCCGGAAAAATCGTTTGGGGTTTAAGATTTCTCGTCTCTTCATATACATTTAGCTTTTTCTACGTGTGTTAGACGAATTGGATAAATATTCACCTGAACTCAATGAAGCCATGATGAAGAATTACAGCCATGAAGTCACCCTGGAGATCATCGCGCTCCCCCGTCAACAAAAGAATTCCATTCCACGCCTCAGGACGAAATTCTAAGTCTAATTGGATATGTTTGTAAGCTGCTTTCAATGCTGGAAATGCCAGCCAACTTGATCCCGTGAAGCGGGGCGACTTAACTTGAATCTCTGAAACAATAATGATGAAGAGGTTCTTTAGTTTTGGTTGAGTAAAAGCATTGGGCTGAGTTTGTAAATCCGTTTACGTCTGATTCGATTAAAATGAACATTTCTATTCGTAAAAACAAGTTGAGAGAATTATTTTCACGTGAGATTGGGCTTGAGAAGTCGAGGCCTCTCCATATTTTCCCCGAACTCATTAATTACCCACCGATTTTTTCTTATTCCTTCATTAAAATCCGTTTGTTGAAAAAAAAATATTGGAAAATAACGGGAAAATAACTCCTGTAATTCAATGTAATTCAATGCAAGATAAATATTTGCTTTTTAAATTAATTGATTAATAATTCGTTGAATACTTCTTACAGCTTTCAATAATTGAATAATTGTGAATATTTGGAGAATAAATTCTGATATTCGTTGATTGATAAATAATTAAGTAATAATTGAGTGATAGATTTATTAAATTAACCACAAACACTTCATGATAATTGAATCAAATATGAAAATATCATTAAAAATGAATGTGAAAATATCAATAAAAATGAAAATATAAATGAATTGACTCATCTGTAACTTTCCCCCTAAATACCCAAATTTGAAATTAATTAATGAATATAAATTAATATAATTAAAAAAATGAATTAATTTTCATCTTTATCCCTAATTTCACTAAAAAATTCTCTGGAAATGAGAAAAATTCGGTGTGAAGAAAAAAGAAGAAGATTTATTCGAATTAAATAAGAAAATATAAATTTTTGTACTGTTTGAATAAATGAACTTATTCTATCGGAATAATTAATGATTTGAGGGTAAATAAATAATGATAATTATATGAGATTAATTGGGGGGAGAATAATTCAAGTTTGAGCGAAGGAGATTGAACGAAATCCTCGCAGGGCTGTGACATCGATTAGTCCGAGATTCCAGTGAAAAATAAGAAAGTTTGTAGAGGACATTTTTACGGTAGTGTGCTATGAGCCAACTGTAAAATCCATATGACATTTTACGGCATTTCTCGGTGAGGGTGGATTTTGATGAGGGTAATCCTAAATGCACCTGTGGCACAGTGTAGGATGCAATCGATAAACTCGCCAGCAGTCTGCCGGTGGTCATGTGGAAAATTCTATTGTCAGACATTCGAGTATAGGATCACTACTCTCTCCACTTTCTTTATTGATTTATCGACGCTAAATTGCAGCGAACTGTGACTTTGTCGGTTACTTCTATTCCGTCAGAGTAATGAGTGGAAATAAATTTTTACACCATTTTCCACACCCAGAGATATCATTGCAATTATTTTTGTCAGTACCATTGAAAATTTGACGGAAGTATTCGTCGAACATTTGCACTTTTGTCAAATTAATTTATTATTTGTTTATAATTAATTAATTTTGTTTATCATCCTTTTTACAATTTTCTAGAGTACGAACAAGGCATTTCTGATTTTTTACAAATCATTTTATTTATATAAACATAATAGTCCGACGAATATTGACGATTTTGTAAAATATTTATAGTTACATATTGATATATGTGATAATTATATAAAAAACAAATGTATATATATTTTATATTTTATTAATTGACCGTAATCTATTAGTTATGTAAATTAGTTGTAGTTTATAGATTTTATTTATCGGATAGTTATGGAAAAAAATGAGGAAAATCCTGAATTTTTGATTTCTTCTTTTTAATGAGAAGGATAAGAGAAAAGGAAAAGGAAAAGGTAGATATCGAAGATAAAAATATACGAGATGAGATTATTTTGGTGAAAACGGAAATTTGACAGATTTCTCGAATCATTCAGCTCAAGAGTCTTGACGTAGCATTTCGTAAATTTTACGCGTCTTCTGGGTAATTTTTATTTGAATTTTCTATCTGTGTGGGTTAATGTTATAATATAATGTAATGAAGTTTATGTGGAATGGAAATGGCGTGACCCTATGAGTGCTATAAAAGTATTGACGAAGCAATTAACGAGAGTCAAGGTGCGGGTGCGTCTGGTCTCTGGAGTTTACGACTTTAAACTTCTCGGCTAACAACGAGGTGAAAAAATATCGAGCTCACTGAAAAATTGAATATTCTTCTCCAACTAGTTTTGCTAGCCAACTCTTGCTGCCATTTAACCCCGATAAATCGATAGTGGGAGGAGAGTACGTGTCAACAATTCTGTTTAGATTGTTCGGTTAAAACTAGTGGGTGGAGAGGAGTTTTCAGGTGTTTTTAGAGTTCAATCGCTGGATGAAACAGTCAATCTGATCGGAAGAACGAAATACATCGTTACAGGAAAATTGCTATTCCCAGTTTAATTCCATTTAATTTTAACTTCACAGAAATTTCAAATTTACTCATATTTTCTCGAGATTTTTTCACGTTTTATCAATTTCCGTGGAATAATTGGAAATTTCATTTAAACTGAGAACCAGCGAACGATTGGATGAATTTGAAGTATTCAATTCAATTCGAATGAATTTTCCATTTTTTTTTGTGACTGATTGAACACGAAAATTATTCAATAATAGGATAAATATCTTTTTGGATTTTCCGTTAATCAAGTTCATTCAAAAATCATCTCACTTCCGATTTCGCAGAGTCAATTAATGAATTAACAAATGACTTTTAACTTTAATCATGCGACGTCTTGAATATCCAAAAAAAAAATCTAATTTTCCCTCTAAAAAATTATTCGTTCAATAAAAAATAATTATCTTAAATAGAATAAAAACCTTGAGAATGGACATACCAAAAATACTTGACAATTAATGAATTATTGAAATAATAAGGCGTGGGACTGAGAAATGGCGATTATTTCTAGCTAATGGAATTTACTGAAAAGTCATTTGACATTTGCTGGAAAGCGACGCAAGACGGGGGTAATTGAATAATCGATGGCGAAGGTAAAGTCAAACAGCGAAATAATGGCGTTGGGGTAAGGTGTAATGATGAAAAAAGTTGAGTATTGATTTTACCATTTTGGCAGCGATCGCCAGTTCTGCCCAGTGGGCATTGGCACCGCTGTCTGAAGGCAATTCTCCTGCGTCCAACACTTCCGGTATATCCACTGCCCATCTCTTCCTCCATTTCGTCAAGGTCGTGCAATTGCTCGATGTAACAATTTCCCACTGGTCCACAATCGAGAGAACACGCTGGCTCCGTTATTGACACACTCTCAGTTGTTATTGCCACCGTCTGCTCCAACTTTTCACCCTGAAATCCAATAACCCTCCTTTCATTAATCTGTCGATATTCTCAAATATCGCTATTACATTGGTCCATTTTACCCCCAATTCATCCTATTATCTTCCCGATTTTTCCCCATTTTCCCGGATTTATCGTCTGAAAATTGACAGTGCAGTTTGGAAATGCATTATAATCTCGCCCTGAATATCTATTAATCTGTCAATATTTTCCTCAAATATTGTCATTACATGGTTCAAGCGTTTTATCCCATATTTATCCTGTTATTATTTTCCCCGTTTTTCCGATGAAAATCCAGAATTTTCCGGAATTTAACCCCTGAAAATTGACAGTGCCGTTTGAAAATTCATTGTAGTCGCGCCTTGAATATTCATTAATCTGTCAATATTTCCTTCGAATATTGAAATTACTCTCTTCAAAGACTTCATCTCAAACCTACCCTATTATAATTTTCCCCATTTCCTCGATCCAAATACAGAATTTTCCGGAATGTCATCCCTGAAAATTCGCAGTGCAATTTAAAATGGATTGTAGTTTCACCCTGAATATTCATTAATCTGTTAATATTCCCGCAAATATTGTTATTATTTTCTCCGATTTCCCGATGAAAATCCAGAATTTTCCGGAATTTAACCCCTGAAAATTGACAGTGAAGTTTGAAAATTAATTGTAGTCGCGCCTTGAATATTCATTAATCTGTCAATATTTCCTTCGAATATTGAAATTACTCTCTTCAAAGACTTCATCTCAAACCTACCCTATTATAATTTTCCCCATTTCCTCGATCCAAATACAGAATTTTCCGGAATGTCATCCCTGAAAATTCGCAGTGCAATTTAAAATGTATTGTAGTTTCGCCCTGAATATTCATTAATCTGTCAATATTCCCTCAAATATTGCAATTACATCCTTCAATAGTTTCACCCCATTATTTTCCCACTGCAACTCCTTACCTGTCCTCAGATTAACATTCAAATTCTTTAACGATTCATTCCCTGAAAATTGACAGTTTCCTGAAAACTCCCGAATCGACAGATCTTCCATTATGTTTTTCACCCCACTAATTCACCCCATTCTTCCCCAAAATTCCCCATTCCAAATGAAAAATCCCATCGAGCTCCAAAACCCAATGAATCCTGAACCGATCCAGAGCAAACAATCAGGTGTTCACTAGAAAATCCCAAGAACTGTCAGTCTGTCAACTGTCAATTCCTCACCCTCCAACCGCCCCCGCCCCACAACTTCCCCAAAAACCCGAAAAGAAAGAAAATAAAACCCACAGCCCTCCCTGAAAATAAACTGCCCGGAATTAAAATGCAAATGACAAACTTTCCGCCATCAACATAACTTTAAATCCTCCGAAAAAAAAAAATGGAGATTAATGACCGGGGCGTGTATTTGCCAGAGGTACAGAGTGTCTCGGCTTAATAAGTGACACGTAAAAAGCCCGGAGTAATTAGCGATTACACAAGGTGCTCAATTACCTCAGAAAGCGTATGTCCATGGGGCACTTCATTGGACTCATATCTCGTACCATTCGACCTCTCACCCCTGACATTTACGCGATTATTCATCGAATGATGCGCATCATTTGCACTGGACTCTTCATTATTTTTAATATCCAACGGTTTAACGTCATTCAATGCCAAGTCATGAATATCACCTGTTGACGGCGATGTTGAATTCAACTCTGTGGAAATAAACATCAAAACTGTAATGCTGCATTATGATGTGAATAAATGATAGAATTTGGGGGTGGATTGGGGGTTGGGATGATTATTTTGGGTTTGATGGTCTGGTCAGCTTCCGGCTGCCTCATCTGTCATTCAGAGGAGCCTCTGGGACTTGATGGGATGACACCGATATGACCCATTGTCCACAGAATCGTTAATAAAGCAAAAGGTATATTTGCGGTAATTAGGGGGAGCTATTCCGAGGGAGGGTTTTGGTCGGGGTGAAATCCCCCGGGAATCTCTCACTTCCAGAAAAATATCAACTCTCATCAATTTAATTGCGAGGTACTCGTAATTAAATTACGCAATGAACTGTTAGATTCTCTTGTAATTGCAGGAGTATGACAGATTTTTGGAAATTGGAGGGGAAATTTCGGTTTTAATTGATATTCACTGAAAAATTTTGTCTGTTCATTAAGAAAATTTAGGATGATTGGAATTTTCGGGCTGAATGATTATTGATTCAGTGGATTGGATAATTGAGGAAATTATTGCATGACATTTCTAGATTTTTAGGTTTTTCTGTACCAGGTTGACCTGATTATTGAACATTCTCTGAATATTCAAGGATTTAATGATTCGTTAATGAAGAATTCGACGGGAATTTCATGTCTTTCTAATTATTGAAAATTTCCGCGTTTTTCTACTTGAAATTTTAGGGGTAATTAAAATTCAATTGTTACAGGGTGAAGCTTTTTTTCCTTTTAAATTCTTCAGAGATCCAATTGTAAATTCTCAATTAGTCAATTACTAATTGGTAGTTGGTTATCCGTTAATTATAGACTGACACTGAAAATAGAAAATTAACAGAATAGTAAAGAAATTTACGAATTCATGAATGATAATTCGTTCTTCATAAATTTCGAGTTCGTTTACAATTTGTCATTGCTAAAAATTTCAATTCTTCCAAATTTCAAATGTCAATTATTTTAAATTTTTGTGTATCCTTCAGAAACCCATCAATGGATCTTAAATTAACCAATAATTCACTAGAAATTAATCAATCATTAATTATTGCCTAGTATAACTTCAGCGAAACGTGGTCCTAAAAATAGGGAATTCCCGGAATATTCAAGAAATGCTAAAATATTCAAATCCTAGAAATGTCATGTCCCCCCTTATCAAAAATATCAGAAAGAATTATAAAAAAAATAAAATAAAATAAAGAATTATTAGAATATTGTAAAGAATAAATAATAAATTTAAAATTTAATTGAATGGCAGATCTTGATGAATTAGCAGAATGGAGTGTGTTGGCTTATGCCTGTTGAATTAAGACTCACCTGAACAGCTGTATCCATTTTTGTGGAGGATATAACCATCTCTGCAGTCGCACTCGTACATTCCGTCATGTAATTCATAGCAGAGTTGTTCGCACGGTGAGTTATGACCGCATCTTCCTGTGATAAACCAACGTGTTTAGGTAATTAGGAGGCTCTTGGCATTATGGAGATTTGATGGAGGCACAGCTGTTTATTTATCCTGGCTAATTGGCGAATGGAGTCAACTAATCAAATACTCAACACTATTACTTTTCGTTATTATTTATTTACTTGTTAACAACACGACAACATCGGGGAATTCATTTTAAAATCGTTTTTCTCTAGTCGATTTTTTTCTAGGCAAATCTGCTCAGGTTTTAATTATTGTAATTATTTTCTGCTAGATGATCAGTATTTTCTGGGTGTTCTTATAAAATATATGTACAAATTAAAATTATTATATGTAACGTATGTGTTTATTGATATATAAGGTAATATTAATATATTAATTAATATATAGTTCGGGATTTTTTATGTGATATTAATGAAGAATTATTTATTTATCACAAATTTCGCAGATTTTTGGGAATTAAATTTCTAGTAATTTATTGATAGACTGCATTCAAGGTCATGACTAGTTAAGATTTTTTTTCGTTATGGAAAGGTTTATATAATTAAAAATTTGGACAAAAATATTTTTAATTGGATTGATGGGTATGTGAAAGAACATAATGTAGAGGCGCTGCATTTATTTATTGTATATTGTTGGTAGATGGGAAAAATAGAATAAATAGTTTTCTATGAGGAAATGAATGATGAGAAAAAATAAGTGAACAAATTGCGTTAATGAAAAAGATTTTGCAAATTTAATTCTCGAAAATCAGTGGAATTCATGGAATCGTACTGACACCGAGAAAAACATTCATATTAATCCTCTTCCCCAGGGAAAGACAAAATGCGATGCATCAAAAAATTCAATAAAAAATTCCCTCGACCAAAAATTTCTCCACCACAAAAATTTATCGACAATTTTTTATTCAATTCCCGTCGAATAAATTCCAATTAATCCAACAGCCACTCTCTAAAAAATATTCAAAACAAAAAAAGGAAAAAAAAAAGCCTAGACCCTTCCGATCTTCATCACAATCTCCACTATTTATCTCCTACCACAGACAGATGAACAACTAAAACAAATCACTGAATCCATGAATTTTCATTGGAAAAAAAAAAATGACTCTTCCATTAATTGAAACAAAACATTTCTCTCGATTCCCTATTTTTTCACCGTTTTTTATTCCGTTTAGAGCCCGTTTAATTGACTCTGTGAGGATGATGAAGTGATGTCTCCAATAATAAACCGACGAAAAAAAAAAAAGTCCAGCGCAATGTTCTCCCCAGTGGAAAAGCCGTGGTGCATTTAAATGTCAACCAACACGTAAAATTACCTTGAAATGCAGCTTCAAAGGTTGTCCTTTCATCGATTGGATTCTGGGAGAACACCAGGTCCATCAATCCCAGTAAAATGATCACATAATACTGTCCCGCCATCGTTCAACACTCACTAACACTCTCGTTAATTATTCTTTTTGTACGCATGCGTTTCACTCTACGAATTATCTGCAACAAATAGCAATTATTGCCACTATTTACCCCAAAAATCCATCGACTCCCTCTCCCTCCTCTCTCTGCTACCCACCACCCCCTCCGGCCCCTCCGCTCCCTCCTCACCCTTTTATTTTCACATTTCCCAAACATTTCTATTTCATCCGTTATATATGTATACAGACATTTATATATATATTTGAATTCTCGGGGGGAGGTCATATTTATGAGCATGAAATATTTATTTGGAGGGAAGTAGAATCCACATGTGAAGCGCTTTACGTATTAATTATTTATGTAAACAATTGTCATAAATCCGGAATTCTGTGGGGGAGAGATGATCCTAATTTTCAATTTCACCATTTTCGGATTAAATTTTCAAGGTTCTTTTTTTATTCTGATTTTTCTTATTTAGGAAAATTGAGGAACACAAAAATTGAAATTTTTTTGTTGTTATAGTTTCAGAGAAAATTTGGAGAATTTTGGGATTTGAGAATTCAAATTGAAGAAATGAGATCTTTTTTTATTCTGATTTTTCGTCTTTAGGAAAATTGAGTAACACAAAAATTGAAATTTTTTTGTTGTTATAGTTTCAGAGAAAATTTGGAGAATTTCGGGATTTGAAAATTCAAAT